CTGGGAAGGTGAGGCAGTCACTTCTCTGAGTTCCAGGCCAGCTTGGTCTACAGAGGAAGTTCCAGGCCTGCCAAGGTGACACAGTAAGACCCTATCTCAAAAATAATGAAAGAAGAGGAGGCGGAAAGAGGGAGGAGAAGAAGGGTAGGAGTAGGGGGCAGGAGAGGAAGAACAAGTCTCCCAAGTTAGCATCATAAGAAAGAAGGAATGACACCTGTGTTAGGCAATGGAAGCAAGACAGACAGACACACCCCAGAAAAGAGCAATACTATAAAACCCGAATGGACCTAAGAAACAGCAAGAAACAACACAAGCAAAATGGAACAATGTAAGTCGGAATTAGAACAACTACGAGACGAGAGACAGAACTCAGAAAAGAATCCAGTTTAAAAAAGTTTCAAATAAAGGACACATAACTGAGCAAGTGCATAAAGCTCATTAAAGAAAGGCGAGCATGTAAACTCAGTTCCACCATTCTCTCTTTTTCTTCTTCCTACCCACGTATACAGATTGTACTCCAAGAGCATCAGGATACTTTCTGCTAGTACTCTTTTGGGGGTCTCCCAACCACCTCCCTGCTGTCCAAATACTGACAAGTGAGTAATGAGCTGACTTGCACAGCAGGCCCCTCAAGGGGAAGCATTTCTTCCAGAACCCAGCGTTCTTGAGAGCCTCTCTCAGCAGTCGATAAAGGAGATGCTGCAAGAGTTAAGAGCACTGGCTGCTTTTCCACAGGACCTGGGTTTCATTCCCACACCCACACGGTACCTTAAACCACCTGTAGCTCTCGGTTCCAGGGGATCTGACACCTTCTTCTGGCCTCCGTGGCACCAGGTATGGAAATGGTGTACATACAAATATACAGGCTAAACACCCACACACGTAAAATGAAAATGAAAAAGAAATAGCTGATAAGTATTCAGGACACCCGAAGTCAAGTGTCGTCTTGTCAGAGGACGGGAGAAAAGCCACCAGGTTTGCCACACTGGTGAGTCCTGAAGGGCACAGTGGTCTAGGGCATGGACTAGCCTCTCCCTAAATAACAAAACTGTACTTTGCACTTTTCACTGCTGAAAAGGAGATAGAACTGTGGATTGCTGGGAAATGCCTTGGATCTATTCCTTGAGTCAGAAAACTTCGGTGGGGCAGAGTAGGAGGGCCCTGAAGCTAATTAAGGTTATAATACAATAACTCAGGCCATATGTTGGGGCATAGCCCAACAGTCCAGAGATACAAAGCCTCTGGCAAGCCCTGATTACAGAAGTCATCGACACAAACCTTTGCTGTTGTAGAGCTAAGCTAGGGTTACTGCACCCTTACCTTCCTGTAACTGCCAACTGTTCACTGGTTACAAAGCAACTTCTGGCATCCTGCCAATTACATAACAAATATCAAATATGTACCAAGCTTCCCATCAAAGGCTGGGCATTACCAGATAGGCTAAGACTTGATCGGTGGAGTAGCAAGTCATAGTACCATCAGGAAAGGGCCCAATTCAGGAAGAGATAGCCATGTCTCCAGTGCCATTAACTTTCAGAACGCCAGCACCTCTCCCTCACCGCACCGCCTTTGATTTTAGTGGGCCTATCATGGCTGACAGCACAGAGAAAACGCAGGCTTGAAGGGATTTGACGACATTAGTGGACCTTGAAAGTCTACTCACCCAGCTGAGCTTCCACAGTAAATCACTGGCTCCTTGGCCTAATAACACAAGGTCAAATGAAATGCTGACCACAGCAGGGAAGAGCCGTCCACCATGTTATCCAGCTCATCTGAGGAAAATTTTGAGCTCTTTATAACGTCTCCTCTGCACTTCCTTTCCACATCTAGAGTATATTCATGCTTCCCTCCTCAGGTAACACAGCTGGTTCAAGTCTTGCTGTTTTAACAGTCAGGCCAAAGCTTGCTCTAGGATAAAATTCTCAGCTGAGTTTGGTGTTCTTCTGATACATACTTCCAAATACTTGTGAATTTGTTTTGCTTTTTGCCAGATAGTTTCCTTCTTAATGTATGAGTTGTTCTCTGTATTGCAAATAGGATTTACTAATCTCATAAACCATCTCTACCTTATTTGTTTTTGCAGCACCAGGTACCAGAGACTTACACATGCGGGATAAGAATTTCTTGACTTACATCGTGATAAATGCCTGTAATCCCAGCACTCAAGGAGGCAGAGACAGTCAGATCTCTGTGAGTTCAAGGCCAGCCTAGTCTACAAAGCGAGTCCAGGACAGCCAAGGTTATACAGAGAAAACTTGTCTTAAAAAACAAAAACAAAGAATTTCTCAGCTCACTCCCAACATATCGCTTCCATTTTTATCTTACATTCCCCTTAGGGAACAGATATGCTTTTGTTCATTCTAGTTTACTTTTCTTGAAAACTTTTTCACCTTTAGTTCCAATACTTTAAAATTTTAAACTTCTGATATTTTTTACTGTTCTATAGTTTATTTTCTAAACATATTAAAATTCAAAATAAGGGGTTATAATTTTATCTACTTCATGGGCATTCTTCCATGTCTACAGAAATATCACTTTGTCTCTCTCCTTTCATGATGTTAGCACTAATATTAATTTTGCCATCCTTGTGTGAATCGGCATTCTGATTAGAAGACTTGGTTCGGATCCTCCTAACTTTACAGAGATAACAACTCCATAGTTTTATTATACAATAAATCAAAAATGCAAAAACCCACTTAAAGATTTATTTGGTTCTTAAATGAAATTATGTAATGGATACAAAATGCTACTAAGGGAAAATCAAGTCCAAATACAACAACAAAAAACATTTCTAGCAAAAAAACAAACTTCACATTTCATAAAGGCCTAGATAAGCATTAAAGGCTCCATCCAATAAGAACAAGGCAGCCCTTTTTGAGTATTCCCATTGCATAGCCAATTCTATTGTGAATAGAGTTCCTTGTATAATGAAACAAAACATAAAAATACTTCAATGCAAAAGTGTTCTAATGAAAACAGATTTTTATCCAAAGCTTCATCCCAGAAAACTGAAATGTTCAGTTGTTGCTTGCAGTGACTTAATAAAGCTTCTCAAAACCTTACAGTGACTGTTTATAAAAATGTGCTAATGCAGACTGAGGACCCAGGGAACAAACGCTGCACTCAGCCTTGACAGAGCAGCTTTTTACAGCCAGCAGCAGTGAAGGCAGAGTGACTGCTGCGCGTGCAGTCTAAAAGGAACTTCTCTGTATCATGCCCTCCACGGCTCAGGGACCACCACAGAGGAAAGACTGTAAGAGCTGGGTCCTGAGGAAGAGCGCTGCGGGACTCATGCTCTCACAGCAGCCAAGGTAGCTCTCCTGGGGTCTGCTCAGAACTGGAGGGCAGTCTTCCAGTGCACTGACTGTTGATGGCCGCTGGAGGGGATGTTCTTGTCTGCAGCCACTGACAACTCCCTTGTTCCAGGAGGTAGCACCACACCCTTGCTCATCCAGGAAGCCCTGGGTAAACTCTGCGGCCATTAGCAAAGACAGGTGGGAAGGAGACATGTAGGGGATGGAAGACAGGGTGAGAGGGGGAAGGACCATAATCAGAATGCATGTGTGTAGCAAATTGTCAAATACTTGCATGAGTGTGGAAGGAAGGAGGGAAGAAGGGAGAGAGGAAGGGAAGAAGGAAGGAACGAATGGAGGAAGGGAGGGAGGAAAAGAGGGAGAAAGGGGGGACGGAGGGAGAAAGAAAGAGAAAAAAAAGAAAGAAAACTTAAAATTGTATTAAAATAAAAAATTAGCTTGGTGCATGCCCTGTATTTTTTAATTAAAAACTTCTCTTTTAAGAGCCCTTTGCTAAGGACCTTACCAAAGTAAATAATTTGAACAAAAAAGAAAAATGGACAGCAATAAAACAGAACTGTTTTTCTCAAAGCTACAAGTATACAGTGATTGTCTATGTGCAAGTGTGTGTATAATGTATGTATAGACACTAAAGTTCGTTAAGACACTACTGATACTGTCAATAGCCTCTGCCAAGGCATGAAAACACTATTCCTTAAGTGTACAGAGAAAGGACTGGCTCTTCTGTGAGTGTATACCACTGTAACAAACCCTAGGAGAGAAAGGCTTCTACATAATCCCAAATGTAAATCCCAAATGTAAAACCAACAGCTGGAAAAAAGACTTCCTGTCTCCAAAACCTGATACAGGTCAGCATCAGCAGTACATGGGTTTTAAAGCAAAGACTTGAGAGAAGGGAACAACAAAGGTGCCAGGCTTGTACCTGCGTCCAGTGATCAAGACGAGCACCTCCACAAGCGTGACACCACGCCTCTTCTCTTTATACAGAGTATACCTAGTACTTAAAAAAAAAAGCAGAATGTGAATCTCTCTAGTCTAGTGGCTAAGATGTGAAAAAACTGAGGTACAAGTTGAACCAAAAAATTAATTTTAAGTGCAGCTGCTTTACCAAGGCCTTGTGTGCTGGATGGTGAGGAGCAGAAAAGGAACTATTTAACTTTACAGCATATAGGACACTACCAATACTGTGGCAACTTCATTAAGATCATGATTTGAATAAAGCCAACAAAAAATAGTTAATTTGGGGAAAATTATAAAATTCTTACATGACCTGCATTAAGCATATTAACTGACTTAACTCTACAGAGATACTTTTTCTGGTGTATCGAAATAAACGGATTAAAAATATCTCAGATCTGAGAAGTGCTTCAAACAAAATAAAATGGGAAGGAAATCAAGTATGACAAAACATAATGGTAATGAAATCTGGGCTCTGGTTTAAGTTAATAAGATGTTTTCTATTATTTCAGTGAACTTTTCTTACAATTTATTTAATTTTATGTACATTAGTGTTAATGTGTCAGATCCCTTGGAAATGGCACTACAGACAGTTGTGAGCTGCCATGTGGGGGCTGGGAATCAAACCTGGGTCCTTTGGAAGAGCTGACAGTGCTCTTAACCACTGAGCATATCCCCATCCCCTTCAGTGAACTTTTTACAACAATAAATCAACCTTCCAGACAAATATTCAACACATAAAAATTGACAAAGTTTATTGAGACACTAGTAGTAGATGGTTTTTAAGAAGAACATAAAAGACAACAATCCACAAGACACATACAAAGATAATCGAGATATTAAATACTACCCAAATTAAAGACCATAATTCAAATTGCTAACTGTAATCAGTGTGTCGTGATGAAGCAGCTGTCACTCTGCATGAATTTCATCCATCCTCTCATGAAAGCTAAGCAGACTGGCCTAAGTGACTGCAGTCAAACGGAGTCCTCGGCCTTGAGCGTGCACTGCGTCACAGCAGGCACACAAGGCCATGTGGGCAACCTTTCTTCAGGTGTTTCTCGGCCGTCCTGTAAAGTGCAGGCTACCAGCGGGCTGTTTCCTTAAACAAAGGGTTGTAAAAGCCGTATCTGAGACAGCTGCCCACACTGCCAGGAATGGTTATACAACTAACCAGGGACCCGGCGGTGCTCCGCTAACGGCTCAGTCCAGCTCTCACGGCGCTACCAGCCGAACATGTACTCCATTGCTCTGGACACAAGACTTTCGTCTTTCTTTGGTGTTTGTCTGTCAGAAATAACCTGTTAACACGCACAGCACAGCAAAGAAAGAAGGCAGAAGCATTCAGTTAGTTTCCATGGTGGCAGTCAATCTACAGTTATGCTTACATTTATAGCACTAACACTAAAACTTGAATTTTTAACATCTAGTTAGAAAACTGAGTAAGTAAAACCAAACCTTACAAGAAAGGAAGAATTTAAAACAGAGACGTAAAACTATCAACAAAGAACCCTGATCCTGTACTGATGTCCAAACTTCAGGAGACTAGGGTGTGTGACGGCACCACCCATCCGACCAGCGTGTACACACTTCAAGTGCCGGAACCACGACCTGTGCCACAATTCAGGACTTTTAGTGACTAGGAGGGGCCAACAAAGGAATCATCCTAACTCCTACACCATTCTTCAGAGAATGGAAGGAATTTATTTTTTTAATGACAACATTTTCATCTCTGATATTAACAGCTGGTCACCTTCCTTTGAAAACTGGCACTACTGTACTGGTTTTATTTGTTTCTGTTTATGAGTTGTATAATCAACTCAGTAAGGTTTAACATTTTCTCGTGCCAGCTATGTATAGTATGGATGTTTAAGTGTGCATACAAATGTAACTGGGGGAAAGAAAACCTCTCAAGATATTTTTTTACAATGTTTTCTTTTGCTTTGCAATACTGGAGGGCACTTCTGCAACTCTGCTGGGTAAGTGCCTACCACTGAGCTATATACCCGGCCCAAACTGAGAACTGCTTCAATATTCAAGCCATCTTTCAAACTGGTGAAGGCTCTGACTTTAAAATGGGAAATTTAGAAGTTTGAAGGTTTCATCAAGGAAACCCACCAGGAGACACTTAATTGTACACACACTGCACTAATCTAATGAAACTAATCCAATGAAACAGTAAACAGTCTACATATGCCTCAGGCTCTACCTATCCTGAGAATACCTGGTAGTCACTAGTGGAGGCCTTGTATGCTGTGGCAAGAGGCCTCATGGTAGAAATCCTAGGAGTGCTTCCGGTCTGCGATGGAGTGCCTAAGGTCTTGATTGGTGTCGTAAAGGCTACAGATGAAGATGACAAGGCTCCTCTGTCACTGTTTTCCATGACACTCTGGAGAAACAAAGAAATACAGGCACACCATCTAATACTGTGAAGTATTTCACATACACAAAAACCCCAAACTTATTAAAGGCTACCAGATTTGGTCATAGAAAGTTTCTGAATAAATTAAGCTTTGAGAATACAGTATGTTTCTTAGCTAGAATTTGAGATCTAATCCTTAGTCACATTAAACAGCCTCAATTTAATTATAAACCATGAGATCAAGAATCTCTAAGCAAAACAGATGTTTTAGGAAGAAACAGGGTTCCAGACAAGGTGAGAGGAATGGGAGTAGGATCAAACACATGATAAACATGTATGAAGCCTGTCTAAAAAGTATCTCAGAGTAGACACTATGATAAGCCAGCAGGAACAAAACAGAAAGAATGCAATCCATGTAAGTGTTCAATCACTGCTGCGCCATCAGACGGCCCTCTGGCCGAGGGCTCTGGGCTCCACGGCCCAAGGCAGTGCAGACTCTGAGTCTCTCTCCCTACTCAGGTCTCCCTTAAGGGAATCCCTTAAGAAGACACAGACGCTGTCTCGCTCGTGGCTCTGCGTGCATGGGTGACAAGCACCGCGCCTGGTATATAGCTTTTGCATATGCTTACCTCAAGTATGCTCAAAATGATTCCTAAAGTCATAAGAACAGTTTAACTTCTATTCACTAAGGTTGAAAAAGTACATGCAAAATAAGCTTTGAAGGCTCTGAAACAGAAGTGAGTTTCAGAAAGCGCTGGCTATTAAGGCTAACCATTAGTTAGCATCTGTGTGAGGTGTCCGTGCTGAAACAGCCCCAGACATTAGGGCTCACCAAAGCTGATGTTGCAGGTTTACAGTCCAGAGACCTAAAATTTGGGCCTCACTTCAGTAATTCTATACAACTTGCTTAGGCTCTCTAGATCTCCCTTTAAAAAAATAAAGGAGGAGGAGGAGGAGAACAAGAAGAGGTGTAGACAAATGATCTAGCATCTTGTGACTACTTCCGGCCGACTGTAACACTCTACCAGTACACACTTCACTTTACAAACTGAGAAAGCAAGTGTAGTGAGGGTAAGGAACAGGCGCTGGTGTCCGTCCTCATCTGTGCTCTTCACACACACTAAGCAAGCTATTTGCCCTCCTTAAATACAACTCACTTTATCTATACATGGTTTGACACCAATCATGATGGATTCTCCAAATATTCTCCCGTCTTTGCTCAAGGCTTTGCGTGCCTGCAGTTTAGATTGGTAACGAATATGCATCCAGTTGCCTGTGTTCGACATCTGCAAAGAACAAAACTGTTTAAGATACAAAACACACACCTAACACACAAATACCAGGAGAAAACCGACTTTCATTTATTTGATACCCTGTAAAAAGCTGCATATTAGAATTCAGAAAGATCCTATTAAACAGGCTCAATAATCCCTATCCATATCTCAACTCTAAAATAAAACGTAGCAAATATTCCCTGAAAGTAAAGTAACTCTCAAAAGAATTATCTCCTACAGAAAATTTATATTAGCAATTATTACGAAATTTCTAAAATGCTCTATTCATGAATATGCCTGTGTAGGAGTGAGAACTGAAATAGTAGAAATGCAATTTAAGCATGAACTGTGAAGAGTACAGGACTCTCTTAAGGCTACTGTCGGATAAGGAGATCTTACTTAAGACTCCAGAAGCTCTGGACCCCCACTTCCTCTGTCCCCAGGAAAGCTTAAGAGAAAAACATTACTGCGATATGAGACATAATCAACTATCCTAGGAGACTGTGAACTCAGGAGGCTCTGAAGCTCTCACTCAACCCTGGACCTATTCCTTCTCAGCAAACACTACACAAGTTTGAGTCTCCTAGATTCCAAAGCACATATTCTTTGAAAATAAAAACTAAATTTAAATTTAGAAAAAAAGACAAAATTCAGAGGTAGTGTTCTTCAATTTATAACTTGTCTTTCTTTAACCAAAATCTTAATTGCAGAAAAAAAAATATTAGTAAGCCTTACCACATGCTTTAAGATATTCCCATACTGTGCAAACTGTAGCAATATATAAGAAGCAGATGCTTGTGGAAACCTAGAGGGAAAATTGCCCAGACAAGATCATCAATTTCCAGTATCAATACAAAAGCAAACTACCATACCATACTTCCCCTATAGAAATTCTATCAGTCACTTCAAGGCCATACCTCAAAATTACTTTTGACTCAACTATTCTCCATTCCCAGAGCCCACCTCTGAAGTTTTTCAAATCCCCACTCCTGTAACTTATTACAACAGCTCTGTAACAGCTAGCCAGACGCTGGTCTGCAGACATGATCGCAGTACTTGGGTGTACTATGACCTGAAGGGTGAACTGTTTAAATTAGTATTCCATTCCACTATGCAATGATCGTCTCACGATTTGTAGAATTTAGTGCTCAAAATTATAACTTGTCATCAATAACAAAGCTACAAAGTCACTTAAAAGGACAATACTCAAAACTAAAATTCAGTATCAGTAACAATGCTACAAAACTACTTGAAGGTGATACTCAAAAAGTTAATAGCCATACCTTTAAAAGAATACTTTATTAAGTCTTACACAGTTTGAATATTTTACAATAAGCTGTGATTACTTATGTAGTCCAAATAAGAAATGATTTCTGAATGAAAACAGTAACAGCTCTTACCAGTCTAGAAAAATATTTATCTTAAATTTTTTAGACCACTAACATAAATTACCCTGAAACTTCAATTACACAGCCCTAAAAATTTTTTAAAAATAAAAAATCTGTCACACACACATGTGAAAATAAACACATAAAATCAAATGGGTAAGCCAAGTCTCATGGCACATGCCTTTAATCCCAGCACTCAGGAGATGGGGGCAGGCAAGGTCTCTGACTTCAAGGCCAGGAAGCTAGACGCAGAGTGAGAGCCTATGTTAACCACCCTCCACCAATGTGAATAAAACACTGCATTCAGAACTGAAACTTCACTTTTTACTTATATATCTCTGGATATGAGATTTTTTTAGTTCCAAAAACAAGCAACAAATAAGAGACAAACATGAAAAGAAAAATAATGGTTGCAAGTTGAGAATAGCATTTTAGAAATAAAACATGGTTTTAAGGCTCTTCAGCGGCCACTTTCAATAAAACCTAATATTCTAGTACTCTTAAAATGATCACCCAAGACAATGGATAATATTTTATCTCTATGACCTCAAGTTGACAAAAAGGTTAAACCAACAGAGGAACATATAATGCATCTTAGAAATACTTCCATTAAATGATCAAAATGAAATGTTTTTTTTTCCTTAAGAGACTGTGTCTCAGTGTATATATAGAATAGCTAAAACATAAAAGTTTTATTAAAAAAGAGCATTGGAAAATCTGAAATATTTTAAGACTTCAAGCAATCCAAGCACTTCTTCTAACTACTTACACACTGCAGAAACACACTATTCTGAACCCAAAACAGTTAGAAACAGACACGTGTTTTCAACGCTGCTCAGATTTCCCGAGAAAACAGAAAATCTTCAACATTGAAAAGGGAAATCAAGTAGCCAGCTCAAATGCCAGAACATGGGGCTTTGCAAGGGTTTCCAAGGAAACAAGGGAATGCCCCTGCCCAGCTTCTCACTGAAGCAGTCAGGAACAGGCGAATCTCTTCAAGGCAGTGGCCATCACGGCCTTAAGGGAAAGGCCAGTGCAGCAAAGCAATATGAAAGACTTTCCTCCAAGCACTCCTACACACCTTTTGAATTTTTAAAATTTAAAATAAATTAAATTAAATGTATAAAATCCAATAGATATTTCTTGCCGTCTATTTACTCTTCCTTCAAGAAGCCCAATGTGTTATCTTTATATATTTTAGTCCCAAAATAGACATAGGGAGGTCCAATGTAAATAAGGCAATCCTACTTTCATAATAACCTGCATGCAATTTAGCAGAAAGACCAAACTGGAACAGACCTCAGTTTCTGCTGAAATTCTTGCTATTTAATGAGCTGTGATCCTCTACTGGGGGAAATTTTTCTTTTCCTGTCTATAGTCTATTTCCTCATCTGTGTAAGTGAAAGATTTCTAAGGATCTTAAATTATTATGGCAATAAAATTATTTTGCTGCATCTTGGAGTCTCATCACATTTCTAATATTAAACTCCAAACAGAGTGTGCCACCACTGTGACACAGACATAAGCATATCTCAGTGCAAGCCTGCTGGGAACACTAACGTGCGGAAGGGACCACAAGAAAGGGTTCCTAAACTGACTGACAGCCTCGCCTTTAACAACTGGTAAATAACTTGGGAAGAGTGCGCACGCACGGTTTTAGTTAATGAGGTCCAGGCTGTGGACAGTACGCAAGGATGGTGCATCAGGACAGAGGAGAGCTGATGAGCAGACGCTGAGGCGAGTGCGGCCAACTGTTCCAGCTGTACGGTCAGGTGGCATGTGGGCTGGCGCTTGCTCTCCAGTCTCTGAAAGCTTCTAAACCGTTTAACAGTTTGATCAATACTGGCTCCAGAGTCCTTACCCAAACACAGTCACCCAGGTGTCATCCAGGTGATCTTCTGAAGTCAGAGAGTCTCCCTGAGTATAAAAAGGGTCCAGTTGAGCAGGAGATAGTGTTGTCTTTCGTGGTTGACCAATATTTGCTGGACTAAACATGCTTTGCCCTGTGTTGGTAAATTTAGGGAGTTAGTTACGATTTAAAACACATGGGCTTATTTTAAAGCAAAGCTCTCAGTCCAAAGGGCAAATTATTTAAAAGTTGACAATTAGATTAAATGATCTGAAACATACAACTGTAGCTAACAGCCATTTCATACTATCATGTAGAGGCACTCATAAATATGTGGGATAATCGATCACTTTATTTTTGAGCTGGGGCTTCACTATATAGCCTAGGCTGGCTTCAAACTTGCAGCCCTCCTGTATCAGCCTTCTGTGTTCAGATTACAGGCACACGCCACCACATACGATTCCACATTTGGTTACTCTGAAATTAAGCCCTAATGTCACATCATAAGCATGCTAAACTTTTGCCAATTTCAACAGAAAAGTTACAAAAGTTCCTTCTCCTCCCTCCAGCCCATCACTGGGGATGAAACCAGGAGTGTCACACCCATGAAGCAGCTGATTCACTGTCCCTGAGCTACATCCCAACCCTTGGTTATGGAAGGACACATGATTCTCCTGCGTCTACTAGGACTGGAGATGTATGCCATGTCTAAGTTTATTTCTTCTCAAAGCGCTAGAACAAAGACAAACAGGCACGGAATGTTAGAAAACAGCAAAGAGGGGCTGTGAACACAGCAAGGCAGCATGAAGGCGATGAAGCACATCAGGTCTCAGGGGTGGTGAATCGGTGAAGACAATGGCCCGTGCCAGGCCCAAGAAGGCTGTGGCTGGCGTCAGATAAAAGCAAGTAGTCCACTACTGCCATACGTGCGAGGAAGACTCAGAACAACCCATGAGGAAGCCCTTATGAAAGCTACCATAAGCTTTTGCTTGGACCTTAGATGAAGCTGACAAACCAGTGGAAAATTGTGGGCAAGAGGGACAGAAAAGGACTATCAATGTGACCTGACAATACAGAACCTGATCCCTCTGAAGGATTGATCAAGTCTTTCCTCACATGTGTGATCTTACTTCCTTACAGTCCTGTAAGATCAAAAACTGGGATGCTCTAGGAATAGGCAGTTAGCAAGAAAGGAAACCATGTAAAAGCAGCTGGAACGCTAACAGGCAGTGAGAAGCATGGCTCCCAGGTCCCAGGAGAAACTTACTCTTAGCATAGTGTCAGTACACAAGTGTGATCCAGAAGCCCCAGGAAGACCCTAGGCCAGGCGAGATAAAATTACCTTTCATGGTAGTACAAAGTTTCATTTGCCTTTTCATTCTTGCCCTGTGAGCACACAGGACTTTTCCAGAGTTTTGCTATGTTTGGTGGAATGAGAAGTAGATTATGAAAATGTAGCTTTATCTTACTAAACCAGACACCAATCACTAGAGACATAAAACTTCACCACTCCTTATCATGAGAATTACATATCTTAGGAAAAAGTATTTTTCACTTCAAAAGTACTGATGGGTTTACTGTTAAGTACACCAAATCCCAAACCCCAAGTTTATTTTTAAATGAACACATATTTAAAATTTTTGCTTTAATTTCCCATTTTTAAATGACACAAGGACTTCTTTAACTAGTAAATAAGTTACAATGAGGCATGCCCTACCCAGCAGTCAGATAAGCTCCAGATGCCCCTCACAGCAGCACCCATTGGCCCACACTGATTACATTCAGTGTGGATCACTTCCTCTTGCAAAATGATGACCAAGTAGCTAACAGCTACAACTTGCAGGAGAAAAGGGGTTTGGGAGTTCAGGGGGATTCAAGGCCAAATAATATTCTACCTCAGCCATCTGAGGTGTCCCTAGCCATCTCATGATATAAAATGCATTTAACCTACCATCAAATATCTCCACAGTTTTAGTAGTACAACATAAGTTCCAGAGTCAAACAACAAAACAACAAAAAAGCAAATTAAAGTTATCAAATAAAAACTATAATGTAAGCCCAACACTTGAGAGGCAGAGGCAGGCAGATCTCTGTGAGTTTGAGACCAGCCTGATCTACAAAGCAAGTCCAGGACAGCCAAGGCTACATAGAGAAACCCTGTCTCAAAAAAGAAAAGAAAAGAAAAGAAAAAAAAAAAAAAAAACAAAAAACCTACAACATATACAACGTAACAATGTATTTCTAACTGAAAACAATACAGTCAAACATGTCTTCTCTTAAGTAGGCTATATAATTTGGGCCTAGAAAGCCACCTAATCTAACCTATTAATGTAGCCTTTACTTCGGGGGGGAGGGGGGGAAGGTTAGTCACAACAGATCTACTAGGCTTCTTTAAATCCCTTCCAAAGGGACAGCTAGATGGCTCTGCAAGACGCAAAGGCCCTTTCCACCAAGACAGATGATAGAGCTCCACCCCTGAGACCCTCAGGGTGGAAGAGTCAACTTGAGCAATTTGCCCTGACCTCAGCATTATGCCATGGCAGGTGTGCATGCACAGGAGGACCAGACTAGATGGGGAAGGACAGAAGACACAGAAACAAGCTAAAAGAGGACTAGCTGCATGCTTCCTCTGGTCCTCAACTCTGATGTCCGTGGACACAATGCAGGATCCCACCACTTCAGTGAGGAGCTGACTACAGCAGCCTGGCGCGCAGACGAGCTCATAGGGATTCTGCTGATTGCACAGCCTAAGTGGGAAGACTTGCCTCCTCGCTGGGATGCAGGATGTACACACAAACACCAGGCTGAGCACAAACATGCATCTGTTAACTTATCAGGTCTTTGTTCTTTAATGTGGATAGACTCTGACCAGCTGCTTCCAGTCCCTGTTGCCTTGGCTTCTCCACAATGATAGGCTGTGGCCTGGAACTGTGAGCCAAATAAACCTTTTCTCCCTTAACTTATCTTTGTCAGGATAGTTTGCATCACAACAGACTGAAAAACTGTAACACACTATAACACCCTGAACAAGTATCCTTCTCCTTGTCATCGCAGACGGATTTAATTGGTAAAATACACTTTAAAATGAGACATTTAACATGGAGCATCCCAGGAACTGAAGAGGTGGCTCAGCATTTAAGAGCACATAATGTTTTTGCCTCTGGAGGACTTTAGTGTAGTCCCACACCTATCAGGCAGCTCACACCTGACTGCAACTCCAACCTTACGGGATCCAATGCCATCTTCAAAACTCTGTGGGCACTATTTAAATGTGCATTCACACTCAGACACACACACAATTAAAAATAAATCTTGCCAGGTACAATGGCACATCTTTAATAACAGCACCTGAGTGGCAAGAGCTAGAGGATCTCTGAGTTCAATGTCACCTAGTCTAAAAAGCAAGTTAATGGGTAGCTAGGGCTACACAATGATATTGTACCTCAAAAGCAAAGAGACAGAATAGATAGATGGATGGACCCTATCAACCATCTCTTTTAAATCTAATTAAGTCTTACTAGAAAGATATGCTTTTAATAAGCCAAAAACAATAAAAGGTACCTACATTAGTAAAAACCTGAAGCCAATTTTTTATGCCCTGTGTTACTATTAAGATACAGTTTACTTATGCTACATCATGTAATAACCTTCAAGCAAAAATTAAAGGCTCAAGTTGAGACAACCATTATGACCTTTAAAAAGGCAAATCAAAATTATCTCAAATGAATATGCAATCTAATTTTTGTCTTGTCAACTAATCTAAAAAATGCAATTACTTACACTAATTGAAAAGTACTTACATTAAGTTTAGTATAATTGCTCCCCTGATTTCACTTCCTTTAAATCAAACTATGCTTTGTAAGATGAAAACCCACGTGTGCCTATGAAACCACATCAAACTGGACTGAAGTTTATCTCCCTTGGCATATCACTATCCAAACAGCCTTCATAAAATCAGATTAAAGAAAAGGCAAAGCCTTTATTACCCTTCAATTAAGGAACAGATCCAATTATTTCAAAATAAATGAAAACAAAAGAAAACTTGCAGGAAACTTCAAAAAGACATGGTAAATGAATGCTGGGAAAGGTGTTCTTGGCCATGACACCTTCTTACCATGAAAACAAGTAGCACAGATGTGTAATAAAGAATTTTGCCTCAGCCAAATCGACAGGAGAGCCACTGTTTGGTTCCTAGGAAGTAGTATACACCCTGGAAACTTCCCCAGTGATACAAGAAGTTTTCTTAATCACGGCAAGCGCCTCAGATTGAACGTGACAGCTTATAGACAGACCACAACAGCACTTGCAATGGTTCCTGAGAGCCTTTCAATTATCAAACAGACTCACTTTAGTAACCCCCAAGTTTACATACAGCCCATGTGATGATACACAGCCCTGACCACCTTCGCACTCACACCCTGCATCTGAAGTAAAGATAAACTGGCAGGTACTTTCACTACAACTTACGAGCCAACACACTCACTGACCCTGGGGTGCTTGGACCCTGCCTATCCTAGCCAGACAGAACTGTCCCTGTCCTAGCAGACCATGGAGGGGTGCTGCTTCCTGGGCTGCTCACCGCGGCTTGCTCAGCCTGCTTCCTAACAGAATGCAGGACTACCTGCTCAGCAATGGCACTGCCCAGTGAGCTGGTCCCTCCCAAATGAATCACTGATCAAGAGCGTGTCCCACACACTCGCCTACAGGCCAATCTGATGGAAGCATTTTCTCAAATAAAGGACCCTCTTCCCAGAAGACCCTGACTCCCAACCCAGTGAAACGAAAGATTTTGTCTCTGAAGGCAAGAAAAAAAAGCTACATATGCTGAAACTAGCTTCCCATTGACCCTTCCCAAAATATTCAGCATATTTTCCCATACCAAAGCACACTGTGAAACTGAGAACACAAACCATGTTAAATTTTTTCAACCATCAGCCAAGAGTTGTCATGGCAAATAAATTCTACAGAACACTAGAATCTGGAAGACAAAGGAACTTTGTCTCTGAAATTCCCATCTCAAGTATGATTAAAAAGAAGCATTTCCACCCTGAGTTTTGTGTTTTTCTTCTTCTGCAAGCTTTATGATTAAACCAAATTAAAATTTTTAAAGAGTAAAGAAAATGGAAAATACACAATTAGAAAAACGAGCTCAACCCAGGAAATGAAGGCAAATCCTAGCATGGCAGTTGTTCACCATTGTGAAAGCGCAAACTGCCAAGAGTGATGTGCTCAGCTCTCAGCAAAACATGCTTGAAGCTGGCCATTTTATAGAAGGATAAACATGTATCATAGCAACAGAAAACTTGCAAATGGCACAGAATAAATTAGACCAACAAGAAGTGGCGCTAGAACACTTTGCAAGGCCCTAGATTCAGTCTCTAGTACTGCCAAAAAATTGTAGGAAGAAAAAGCAAATGGGCTAAAAAAAAAAAAAAAAAAAAAAAAAAGATTTCATGCCCCAATCTAGAGTCAGCTGAGGAGGCAGTTTGGCCTGTGGCCATGCCTGTGGGGACTTCCCTGATTGTTAAATGATGTAGGCGGTTCTAGAGAGTGCAGGTGAACATGGGTCTGCAAGCTGGCAGGCAGCATCCCTCCACTCTTGTGCTTGACTTCCTACCCTAATCTGCAAACTGACATTAACCCATTCAGACAAGTGTGGATGTAAATTACCTCAAGAAAATACAGCAACATTTAAAAACGGAACCTTGAAAATTAGCATTATAAGTGTATGTTGTTAGCTAGGTGATCGTCCTTGAGATAGTTACACCCTAAAACCCGAAACCTGTGGGTGCTGCTCGGCTAAAATAAATAAATAAATAAATTTCCCAAAGAATGAATTTTCAAGATTAAAAAAAAAAAAAAAGACTCTGAAAATGTGATCATGTGATTACGAATCTACACTATCCAAGAAAATCCCAGGAGACCAAACCTTTTTGGCACCCATCCTTGTAAGAAGGAAGCAAGGGAAGATTTTGCTAGAGGTATAGTTGTTACTTCTCTATTAGTATAATATAACGCCAAGTCTAAGGCTACATAGAAGAGAGTCTAACCGGGCTACAGTCCCAGAGGTTAGCTTTCGTGGAAGGATAAAGATGACAGGCAGCAGGAGTGGCAGCTGAGAACTCTCATCTTGATCCACACAAGGCAAAGAACACAGGGGAATGGTAAGAGTCTTTTGAAATCTCATCCACCCCTAATGACAACACGGCCACTCCTCCTAATCCTTCCTATAAAATTCCACCAACTGAGGAGCAAGCATTCAAACATAAGAGTGGTTAAGGGCCATTCTCTCATTCAAATCACAAGAGGTGACGTGATAAGAAACCTAAAGTTTTGAAGTTAAGCAAGAGATGAACATTTATTGACATCAAATACAGGAACCAAGAAAACCGCTCTAAGTAGTCTATGTTTTCTCAATTTTCACATTTATTGACATCAAATACAGGAACCAAGAAAACCGCTCTAAGTAGTCTATGTTTTCTCAATTTTCTCATCAACTCCCTTTTCTCTATTTTGCTTATTGTTAGCAAGTGCATAACTCGGTATATCTGCTAGATCTTTCCAAAAAAATATTCCTTTTTACTTGTGCCTCACTAAGACTTTGTGTAAACAAACACTTTCAACTCAAAATAGAAGCAGCAGGGTACCCTGGCAGTCCACTGATGATAATATACCTATTAACCTAGTCTTGCTTCTTATATTCCAATTTTACTTGTTACCATGGTCTTCCTTTTGCATCTATACCACCCCATTTCTCTCTAGGATTTGGAAATCTAGACATCTCCACACAGCCTCCCTGTTCCCACTCTACTCCAAATCCCTAAACTATTATCATCACAGCAACAGTCTTCTCACTGCTTAAGCAGCTTTCTGAACACAGATTAGATACTATGATGCTCTGCAAAGCGCTACAACAATATTAATACATGGATTATCTTTCAAATCTCAGAGATTTTTAGCCAGTCTCTCCTTCACTGAGTCCACTTCAGTCACACCTTTCTCTTACTCTTAAGACCCAGACACACTTTCCTTGGGGCCTTTGAACTTGCTGTTCCCTTTCCGTCTATCTACAATATTTTTTTTTTATCTCCCTCACTTTCGGGTTTTTAAACAACTTTCCTACCTGTGGGGAGGTAAAATAATGCCCCCAATGATGTTTATAACCTAATCCCCAGAATATGGGGACTATTCTGTAGTATTTGACAAAAAGGAATTATAGTTGCAGGTGGAATTGAGTCTGCTAATCATCTGGCTTTCTAACAGACATTCAGGAAGGTGATGCATTCACAGAGCAAGTAAGTGAGTGAGTGAGTGAATGAATGAACGAATGAATGAAGATATAACTACAAGAATGGCCAATGCGGTAGTGCACTCCTTTAATTCAATCACTTGGGAGGCAACTGTAAATCCCTGTGAATTTGAAGCCAGCCTGATCTACATAGAAAGTTCTATGACAGCCAGGGCTACACAGTGAGAACCTGTCTCAAACAACCACGACACGCTCTACCTTCAGAACGGCAACACATAGCGCAGCTTAAGCCACTACTCAGCTTATGGAAACTAACAAAACAGCAACAGAAAATTAACACACTCCTCCACAAAATTCCCATCCAGATGAGACAGCAGAGCTAACACCCAAGAGGATCCTAACACCCAAGAGGATCGGGTTCTAAGGATGATACTGACAGTGACTGAAATGTTATAAAAGAAAAAAACCAAGGATTTTACTCAGTGGCTGTTAGACTTACAACTCAGTATCACTACCCCTCAGTATTCTCAGTTGCAGCTTTATTTTATACAGTTTTTAATAGCTCTGAAACTACTTCAAAGGTCTACTAAGTTTGCATCCTTAAATTCTTAGTACTGTTGGTAGACTATTCTAACTGTAAAGCAATCTATGCAAAGCACTGCCTTTCTAAAGGAGGCTGCTAATGTTTCAGAAAGTCTCCAGATTTAAAAAAAAAAAAAAAGTGCTGGCCATCATCAGAGCAGAGAACAGTTTGAAGTGGAGGACTCACCAGCCACAGGAGTTGTCACTCCAGCAAGAGGACTCTGCATCGCTGAAATGTTTGCCTACGTGAAAAAGAGTACAGCATTAAAACACTAAGTTCTAACCATGCACACGCACAGCAATTACTAAAATTTCAATAGGTAAGCTTCTTTAACAGAAGAATTGAATTGCTGAAATAGACTAACGTTGTCTCTAGTCAGCTGACACTTCCACAGATGAAGTGTCACTTCTTCTGTCTTCATCAGTATTAACTCAAAATATGGAGATAAATTTCCTTTAGGTCCTTTAATATACATTTTAAATAGTATATTTGTATGTATGTTGAACTCAGCTCAACACCTGAGTTCAATCGCCAGAACCCAGCTGGTGGGAAGACAGGACCTGCTCCTACAGGCTATCTGTGGCCTCAGTGGTGCATCCTGGCACTTCTGAGCCCACACACATACATACACACACAAAATAAAAATGTAACTTAAAAGAAGTTACACTGGATAAAGAAAATCTTCTATACAAATGAACAGTAACATGACAGCTACTCGGTTTTAGTTCCCAGTGTACAATACTCAAACTAATGGACATATGGTGATTTCATCAAATTTACACAGAAAAAGAGAAACGATGCAATTTTAAACAGACATAAACTATAAAACAGAACACATTCAAATGACTACAAAAGACAACTTATGCTAACACTATCAGTAAAATATTAAAAGAGGAAAGAATCATTAAGCTTCCCTAAGTAAATATATTAGAGGAGTTACAAATCCATTAGCAGGGGCTAGAGGGAAGGAAGGCTCAGCAGTTCAAAGCACTTGTTGCTCTTCCAGAAGACCTGAGTTCAGTTCCCAATGCCCACTGTCAGACAGCTTGCAGTGGCTTCTACCACCAGCTCAAGGGGATCCAGGGAGGTTTGGCCTCCCACAGCACGCATAGTGGCATATATCCACAAAGAAATACATACATATTCATAAATAAAAATAAATGTTAAAATTCTCCTATCAACAAAACAAACAAAAAACCCACCCACTATCCAACTATAGGGCACAGCATGGTATCTTGGGGGCGTGGCTAATTTTGGCCCTCATCTATTAATAACGTTCAAACTGACCTCAAAGTCTCTATACACTACTTCTTCAAGTCTTTTAAACACTTCAAATGTAACAAACGCTAGTTCTTTTCATAATGACAATGGTCATGAATCCAGAAGCCAGTGGTTCTCATGCCAGGCTGCACATGGGATCTCACGTAACCTTCAGAATGATCCCTAGTCAGGATGTTCTGTATTTAGTAAACCTGGAAGGGCACTGCCCATTAAGAATGCTGCATATGCCAGGCATGACATCACACACTTGTCATGAGAACTGTCAGAACACTGACAGGAAAAGCATATTACATGATTAGCTCATCAATATGCAGGTGGTAGCCTTTTTTAGTAAAGCGCTGAATCTGTCTCTAAAAGGATACCTGTCATATATAAATAACAAAAAACCATAAAACAATGCTCTCAGGCCAGGCATGGTGGCATAGACCTTTAATCTCATAACTTGGGAGGCAGAAACTGAGATATGTGAAAATCCCAGGCCAGCAAGGACTATACAGTGACAGCCTATCTCAAAACCAATAACAAAGCTCTCATTATTAAACTTTCAACCTCCAAGTGCAACCCTGAATTGTCACTTTAACTTTTTTCCAGAAAATATTGCACAAATCTTAAGCTTTAACATGGAATGACTTAAACCCCTAATTATATTCTCTATTTACAATACTCAGGCTGGGAACATGGACAGGTTAACAAAACATACCTACAAAAACCACAGATGTACGTACATGAGAAAACTATCCAGTCTTCTCTCCTTTTTTTTTGCTAGTACAGGACCTTGCTCTAGAGGACAGGCCAGCTTCTAACTCTCATCTCCTGCCTGCCTCAGCCTCCCAAGTGGTACAGGTGTATGCCACGATGCCCACCCTAGGATTCCACAACATTTTAAGTACCTTTCATGTTACCCTAAGCAGAGCACATATGTACTTAATGCTTACTCAGTGCCCATGGTAACTCCAGAATTAACCTCAGGAGAACTTTCTAATCACTGACCTCACTGTGTAAGCATCCAAACCCCGAAATGACCCCTATGGAGCATGGGAATTGCTGTATCACCTGTCTTCTGGACGTCAAAGGTGTCGATCCGAGTCCTGGGCTGGAAATGTCATCATATATACTTCTAACAGGCGGAGCTCCGCTTTTATCTTTATGAGCAGGTACAACTGGCTGGGGTGGAGAGCCCCCTACAATGTATAAAACCAGTCAGGTGAAAAAGCAGAGTAACCGTTCATCTCCTCAGGTTTGTTTAGTCTGTGCTTTTGAAATAACACACTTGTTTCCTAGAGCTATTCAAACTTGGCTACGTGTAACGGTCACCTGGGGCTCGTTTGACATCAGGCTCCGATTTCAAAGGTGGAACCTGTGACTACACCTGACATGCTCCCAAGCAACGTCACAGTGTTGGTGAACTTCAGACTCCACTCTGAATAAAACGTTTCACAACAAACTACTATTGTAAATTTTAGGTTTTAGAAAATACATGTAACATTGCTTCTTCTACTTAATGCTTAACATTTCAATACCCAATGTGATCAACCCCAGGGCCACACATGGTAATTTAGAGCCTTGGTCCTAACTACCCAGGCCTTCATTTAAACAAATGTGAGAACTTCAACAGTAATCTAGCTACTCAGAGCCCAGGCCAGGGAATGAAACTGGATTTAGCATCATGCTGCCACTAAAGAGTAGGTTTTGTCCAGTTATTATTTGGCTTCAGGTTCCTCTTCTGAAATACTATTTTTTGAAAAATGGAGCTATTACTACTTATCTTTTCAAACTGATTTTTTAAATGGGATAAATATAAAAAGCCTGGCATACTGCCTGGCTTACCACTTAGTCTAGAGCTTGGGGGTTTTCTGGTAGTTGCTTACTGGCTTCTTCTGAGACAGTTTATTATTCTGAGACAGTTTCTTGCGGCTCAAACTGACCTCCAAATCACAGTGTGGGGGTGGGTGTCCCTGAGCTCCTCACCCTCATGCCTGTTTTCTAGGTATTTGATATAGGCTTTCACCACCATGCCTGGCTATGCATATGGCTTTTTAAGACAGCGTCTTTACCCTATAGCTGCAGCTTGCCTGGGATACGATGTGGCCCAGACTGGCCTTGAACTCATCATAACCCTCCTGTAGCAGTGTCCTAAGTTCTGGGATTACAGGGACTCACCACCAGACTGGCCTTGAACTCATCATAATCCTCCTGTAGCAGTCTCCTAAATTCTGGGATTACAGGGACTCACCACCAGACTGGGCTAAGGCATAACTTTACAATAAAAATGTGTAAGAAAGAATCATAAAGTGCTGTTGAGTGTTGTACCATCACTTCCCTGAAACTCTACCATGCACACTGATAGACCATAATACTACTATAAGCAATTAACCCACCTGCAAGTAAGGGTGATCTCATTTCCATTACTCCTACTGAAGGGCCACTAACTGATCGAGGTTGCGGAGTCACTGGCGCTGGTAAATCCCCCATTAAAAATCCAGGTAAGAACTGGGCATTAACGCCTGGCTTTGGAGAGGTTGGTGAACCCAGCATCATTGGTTCAGATCCTAAATTAATAAAAAAATGAAATAGAATAATACCATTTCCATTATAGTACCTCACAAACAGATACAGTAAGTAATTCATGATAAAAGTTGGATAATTTAGCCAAAAAACCTTAAGTATTATGCACTATAGTTGAATTTATTTGAAAAGCAGAAACAGTTCTTTCAAAAATGTGAAACTCTCTTGTATTCCCAATATTAATCTTTCCCTCATTTTCAGGATGCCAGGGAGCCAGCCCTGCTACACAAGCTCCCCACACTACGCTACACCCATAGTGTCAATCACTGGCAGTTCCTGTTGTATTATTTCACTGAGTTAAAAGCATCATTTGAAAACCTTATGTTATTATTTTTAAAAAATCTCTAATACAAGCAGAATAATTTATTTTTACTTCTGTGTTTCAACTGTGCACCTCAAAACAAGAATACACCAATTTTTATACAAATCTTGACAAACTGGAAACAACTGGCTTAGCCTCTTCTCTATACATAAAACAGTTAATTACTTCAGCAATAAAAATGTAATCATGTACACATTAGAACACTAATGAAGTTATAACTTGCCTTCTAACTAAGAAAATAGTTATAAAACTTATTTCCAGATCATGTATCTTAACTTCATTAAAACATCATTTGGAAAATGGAAATCAACATAGTTTCTCTAACATAAAACCAATATAAAGAGGTAACTAGTATTTCATAATCATCCATTCAAAATTAATCTTCTAGGGTTTTGAGATGCCTCCCTCAGTAAAATCACTGTTGGCCAGGTGGCAGTGGTGGTGCACACCTTTAATTCCAGCTTTCGAGAGGCAGGTGAATCCCTGTGAGTTTGAGGCCAGGATGTTCTACAAAGTTCCAGGACAGCCAAGGCTACACAGAGAAACCCTGTCTCAAAAAACAAAAATAAAATGTCATTGGCTGCTGTTCCAGAGGACCCAGGCTTGATTCCCAGTGCCCACGTTCCATGAGATTTGCTGCTTTGTTTTGGCTTCCTCAGACACCAGGCACACATGTGATACATAGACATCAATCAACCTAGGCAAAACACCCAAACACACAAAATAAACCCAAACATATTTAAAAATATTCCCATTGTGAAGATAAGAAACCTGTGAGTGAATTTCAGAGTAAAACTGATTTAAAAAGCACAGGCTACACAGGGATGTGGGTTCAGGTTCTCTAAAACGAGCTCAGGGTAGAATCCACTCCCCACTTTTGTTGGGGCAGAACAAGTACAGCACCTGATCTGAGAGCTAATACTCAGAAGCACTTAATCCTAATCGTCTAGCAACAGTTTCAAACACAAAGCCTTAGTAAATCGGTAACGTACGTACAATGTGCATTTCTGCTGATGAATACTGGATTTTCCGAGTTAGGCAATAAGCCTTTGTATGACTGTTGTATATGAAGAAGTCTGATGTTTGGCCTGATAGTTATGTGGTTTTTATGACCACTTCTAAATAGCCTAAATACTTGTTTTCTGATATTCAAAAGCTTTCGATAACTTCCTCTTCCTTCTATGGCTCAGATCTAGGTATTAACAGTATAAGTTTAAAAAGAGGAAAAAAACCAAAGTAATTCAGAAAGATAAAAAAGGTATCAAAAAAGGTGTAAGGCTGGGTGGTAACAGCACACACCTTTAATCCCAACACTTGGGAGGTAGGGTCAGATCTCTATGAGTTTGAGGCTAGCCTGGTCTACAGAGTTCCAGGCCAGCCAGAACAACCCGGGCTTAAACTACCATCCCCCAATCAAACTAAGGTGTAAAGAAATACTGTAATTCTTTTGTAATGTACTAATTATGTTATGTAGTGCTATTACATATCTCAAAAGAAAATTAAACTCAAACCAGAAGTCTCAACAAAGCATACTCCTCAACAGGTATTTAGGAAACTACAGTAGCAAAGTACAAGGTGTTTAGTACCCCACAAACTGCCTTCCCTCCACCACCCACAAGAGGAAGGAATATCATGACAAGTGCACGAATTAGGTCAAGGGCTGGCAAGGTGGCTCAGCAGGTAAAAGCCCTTGCCAGTAGGCCTAAATTCAGTCCCCAGGGCACACATATAACTTTCACATTATATAAGTAACACACAGGGAGCCAGACTGTTTCTAACCATCCCTTCATGACTAAACATCAAGGCTTAATGACTGCATCCTGCATGTCCCAAATTTCACTTCTCAAGCTCTGTCCCTAACTAGTAAGTGTTGCACTGTCTTACTCAGCGAGCAAGAGCAATGCGTGGCATTAAAGGTGCTGGAAGAATGTCATACCAGCAGCACCTGAAAAAAAAAAATGTGCAACATGTAACTATGGCCCATTAGTATCAGGAATGCAGATTCTTGGCTAAGCAACATGCAAGGACGTATTAGTTCACATCTATTACACCAACACACATCCTGCAAAATGTCATCACTGACCAGGAAACCCTGGAGCTGTTAATTGAAGTGTCCTGCTCTCTAACTATGAAGAACACCTGGATAAACATCTGTGCACAAGTTTTAATGCAACAGTGTATCTACATTATTAACATTATAGGTTCACTTTTTAATTTTTTTACATTTATTTTTATTAATTACAGTTTATTCACTTTGTATCCCAGCTGTAGCCCCATCCCCCATCCCGTCCCAATCCCATCCTCCCTCCCTCTTCTCCTATGCTCCTCTACGTTCAGTTTTTATGACGCGCTAAAAAAGAAATCCAATTCAAGTTATGCTAGTCTTTTGTTTGTTTTTTGTGTTTTTGTTTTTCGAGACAGGGTTTCTCTGTGCAGGCCTCGCTGTCCTGGAACGCATATTTGTAAATCAGGCTGGCCTCGAACTCACAGACCTCCACCTCCCTCCGCTTCCAAGCGCTCAATTAAAGGCGTGCAGCACCACCGCCCGGCTAAGTTACGCTATTCTTAAAAGAACTTTATGCCCCAAACGTGGCAAGCATTACATGCCATTTGAATCTACGAAGTTAATTGTGCACAATATAGAACATGCTGGCTCTCTTTCAGAAGCTCAGAAAGTCACAAACTAATACTATGCTAAGTCCATGCAACTGGAGACAGGTTGTTTTTGTTTTCTGTCACAAAATACGGCCGTTGTCATTACTCGCCAACCTGTTCATCTGTTAGATTGTTTTTAAAACGGTACAAGCATCGAGGTTGAATCGTTACAATCCACAGTCCTCCAGCAGAGCCCTGCTCCCCAGCAAAGGGCGGGGGAGGAGAGGGCCGGGTCGGGTCGGTTCCAGAAACCGAGCTGGCCCGGGGCCTGCGCCCACCCGCGTGCACGCTTTCGGGGTGCGGGCCGGTGACCACGGCGGGGCAGGGCGCGGGGCCGGGCTGTCACCGACCGCGGCGCTCCCGCTCCCTCCGTGGCGGCGCCGGCCGCCCACGGCCCACGGCGCCCCGCCTGCGCCGCCGGGAGGCTGCGGTTCACTCACCCAGCGTGGGCGCCTGGGGATCCACGGCAAACGCTGCCATCGCCGCGGCCGCCACAACTCCGCCAAGGACCTCCGCCGTTTTCAAAAATGGCGGAAACGCTCCATGAGGCCCCGCGGCCTTATGGGTTGCGCAACTTCCGGCCATGCGCTCTGCGAGGGCTGAGGGTGCTTCGGCCATTTTCGAAGAGGGCAGGCTTCTTTGCGGGTCTGGGGCGCTAAGAAAGGTTTTATGGGGACGCAGAGATGCGTATGGGGCCTCTGGTTCCGAGAATGGCTCTGGTGATGCCGCAAGCCTCCCCATATGTTGGTGTTTGTGCTTCATACAAACAGATCCCTTTGCTGTCTTCATAATTAGCGAGTTTCCCCAGTGTTCTGTCATCCATCGACTTCCCTAACCCCTGTAAGAAGCTTAAGGAAACTGTCCATTCCTTTTTCTCAACTTTATTTCTGCACTGGAAACATTTGTTTCTCAAAGTATGTTTTCCACCACACTCTGTATGTCATTTCTCTTAAATGTTGTGTTAAGAAGGCATAATTTTACTTTAAAGCATAATCATAGTTTATTGCATATTAATACATACAAAAGATATAAATTTAAAATATGTAAATAAAGGATGATATGAAAAAACTTTGAAGCCACACTGCCATTCTGCCCATGCCATCCCTGTCCTTCGCTCTTCCTTCTGATGCTTTTCCTTGGGCTATATTCATGTACTAGTCACACACAAGTACATAGGATGTGTGTGTTAAAATGTGTTTAGTTTTGGCCGGGTGGTGGCCCACACCTTTAACCCTACAGCTCAGGAAACAGAAGCAGGCGGATCTCCGAGTTCGGGACCAGCCTGGTCTACAGAGGGAGTTCCAGGGTTACTCCAAGGAACCCTGTCTCTTAAAAAACAAAAACAAAAACAAAAAAAAGCTTTCAAAAATATTGACTTATCTTTTACTATTTCTCTCAAGCTTATCAGAGTGAATTGATAGTGTTGTGGTGTTTGAATCCACTGGGAAAGACCAAAGATTCAATTCAAATTTAAATTAGATGAATTTATTCCTACTGCTACCAGAAGACCTTCTGGCCTTAGAGCCAAAAAGCATGCTGCAGTTCAAGGGGGCTAAGGGAAAGGTTTATAAAAGTGGACATTACAATTATCTCATCTTTAGGAAACTAACAAGTGTAGTTACCTCACGGCAGTAACTTCTGTGGGCCTCCAGGAGCTCACCGGCATTTCAGGGCAACAGCCTTAATTTAAGCCTGGTACCAAGTGAAGTTTGTCAGGCACCACAGGGGAGTCAGGCATAAATTATTACAAGGCTTCACCACCGTGGGGAAAGTGTCACTTTTCCCCAGGGTAGAGCGGTTTCTTCCTGGGCAGAAAATTGCACAGTGCCATCAGGTTAGGGCTGGTAGTCACATCTTCACAATAGTGACTCAACATTAAATGGCAGATTTTTAGAACTCAATTTGTTGTTGTTATTGGTTTGGTTTGGTTTGGTTTGGTTTGGTTTGGTTTGGTTTGGTTTGGTTTGGTATATATATATTTTGGAGACTGAGTTTCTCTGTGTAGTCCTGGCTGTCCTGGAACTCACTTTGTAAACCAGGATGACCTGCCTGCCTCTGACTCTGTGTGCTGGGCTTAAAAGTATGTGCCACTTCCACTCAGCCAGAGTTCAAATTTTAAAACCACTTACAGGTTCAATTTACTTTTTTTAAGAAATGAGTACGCTGAGTGTGATGTTTCATGTCTTTAATCCCAGCACTCAGGAGGCAGAAACAGTGGATCTCTGAGTTCAACATCATCCTGGTCTGTACACAGTGAGTTTCAGGACAGCAAGGGCTACATAGACCATGCCAATAGATAATAGATAGATAGATAGATAGATAGATAGATAGATAGATAGATAGATACATACATACATACATACATACATACATACACACATACATACATACATACATATATACATGCATACATACATAGACACATTTTTTTAAATGAGGGTGAGTTTAATTGTACATACCAAAAGGTTCCTGTCTTGACCTTGTACATATGAGTGAGTATATACTCAACAATGGTCTTTGCAGACACAAAGGACATTAAGTTTGTACTGCATTTCCAACTAATTGGTACTTTAAAGCATCACTGTTTTTGTTTTTTGAGGCTAAAAATCCAAAATGTGTTTTAAAGTGCTACTATGAAGGTATCAATGCGGCTGGCTTCTCCATCTGTTTCTTTCCAATTTCTAAAGACTTAGAAGTTGACTTAAACATCAGACTGCTGATGTCTGGTCAAAGCCAAGAGCACAGCATTTCTCTCTCTCTCTGCCACTTCTTCCTAGAACTTCTATCATCATGTGTCTAACACCTCGTACTGACACATGTCTTTCTGCCTCCTTTCTAACTGTTCTTAGGGCTCTCTCTCAGCCCAAGTCATCCATTTGGGGTAACTAAGTGAATAATCACATCTGCAAAACACTTGTGGCTCACAAGGCAACATTCGAAAGTTGCAGAGGTTACAGCCTCCTGCTCACAACAATGTGCTTTTCAGGATAAATTACCAAAAGATTCCTCAGTAAAAGGATTTTTTTTTTTCAGGGAGGTGGGGAGTTGTTTTTAACAGGGTCTCACTAAATAGTCCTGGCTAGCCTGGAACTCGATGTGTAGACCAAACTGGCCTCAAACTCACAGAGATCTTCCTGCTTCAGCTTCCTCAGTGCAGAGATTAAAGGTGTGCACTCCCCCACCTAGAAAAAGCTGTTCTTGTGATCTACACAACCAGAAGCAAACATGTACTTGTTAAAAAGAGACAGTTGCGGCTGGGAGTATGGTTATGTTGATAAACTGCTTGTCTTCATGAGGATCTGAGTTTGAGCCTCAGATCCCACATTAAAAATCCAGCACTCGGCTGGAAGATGATGGCATACGCCTTGGATCCCAGCACTCAGGAGGCAGAGGCAGGCAGATCTCTAGTCTACAAAATGAGTTCCAGAACAGCCAGGGCTACACAGAGAAACCCTGTCTTAAAAAGGTGGTAGATCCTCAGAAACAACACCCAAGGCTTTCCTCTAGTCTTCATCCACACTTTCATGAGGACTACAACTCACTTGTCAGGAGATGCTTATTTTTATTTATTAGTTATTATTTTTAGAACAAGAGCCATTATCTTTTCTTTCTAATTTTAATTTTAATTTTACCAGTAAATACATGAACAAATTAGTTACAAGTTAAAATAGATATTGAACAAAGAGTAACTGTCCGATGCAATTTTGCATGTCTGAAGATTAGTCATAAGCTTTGCACCTTAGTTCTATCAGAATTGTTTATGATCATAAATAAAAACTTGTTTTTAGTTCTGTTTATTGCTTTTGTTGTATAATAAGAATTTCAAAACTTTGGTTATCCTGTATGAAAAATACTTGTCTAGTTTTTTATGCTTCTTGTCACTCTTTGGAGATTTTTGTATTTGCCACACACCTGTGTTCATCTTTTTTTGGTTGGTTCATTGGTTTTTCGAGACAAGTTTCTCTGTTTAGCTCTGGCTTTCCTGGAACTCATTCTGTATACAAGGGTGTCCTTGAACTCAGAGGTCCACCTGCCTCTGCCTCCTAAGTGATAGGACCACCACCGACTGGCTTAGATTAGCATCTTAATTACAATGCACGTGTTTGTGTTCTCCTCTGAACCTACTGACAACCTCACATCGACTTCCTCCACATCTATTCTGAATTACTAGTTTACTCAGGACATAAGATCTCATCGATGTACTGCTTTGCACTCTTGATTTTCACGCTGACATGGAGACCTCTTCTTTCAAAGCATGGTGCACATGTCTAAGCAACCCAGGGGTAAAGCTCTAGTTACAGAAAAATACAAGAAAAGTTCAGGCCAGACCAACTTGGGTTCTTGGCCACTGGCCTATCACTGAACACTACAGGAAGCACAGGAAGAACCTTGGTCCACAAAGAATTCAGTGTGAAAGTTAACCCCAGGTGGGATAAGTATGAACTTTCTTCTAAAAACAAAGCCTGAAATTTCAGAAGTATATAATATCTCAAATTTATTTACCTTTAATCAATTGCTACAGTCACAATCAAATTTTGTATATCTATCATGAATACTCATAACTCATCCCTTAATTCTCTATTAACATATGAAATCAATCTAGCACTCTTAAGATAATGTTGTCTATTTTGTAATTATGTAAAGACATAATTTTAAGAACTCAAAGTGGGGCTAGAGAGATGGCTCAGTGGTTAAGAACACGTACTGCTCTTCCTAGGAGCCAGAGTTCAATTCCCAGCACTCCACCAGGCAGCTCACCGCCAGCTCTAACTCCAGCTCAGGGGCATCAGAGGCATCTGCCTTCTGTGGGCACGTGCAATCACACACACTAAAACACGGAAATATGATTACAAATAAGTTAAAAATTAAAAACCAAAGCATCAAAAAAAGATATCCACCTTTTGTAGGACTTTAGGAAAAAGATGGAATTTGTCATCTTCAGACAGAGAGCAGAGGGAGGAAACATCACGCCTGTGCTTATTTATCATCTGCCTTTGGTAGCTGACAGGTCATGGGCTGTCATTCATTTATACTGTGATGTCACATAAAGCACCCTCGTAGTCACAGCAGCCAGGGCCAAATGACCTCCAAAACAGCTTCATGGGTTAAAATGTAAGAGCCAACCCAACAAAAACACAGGTCCACAGCTGGGATTGCATTTTGGGGCTCTACAAACAATAACAGAAGCCGTATCTCTAAGTGCCTTTAAATAAACAACAACAAACAGAAATTGGAGGGTTTGCTGGTGAGCTCATTATAGGAAACAACTGACCAAAAAGGCACAACCAGACATAGACGAAACATGAGCTCGGATAGTTTGCCTGCTCCTTTCTAACCAGCTAAATGGATCCTTTTGCTTTTTGGAAGTAAAGGATAATTTCCAAACTTAAATTACTTTCGTGTGCCATTATGATCCCTGGTCTTGTATTCAAATACCAGTTAGGTTCAATGAGATATTATAAGGGCACAGGGAAGTTAGAGCAGTCAAAATAGAGGGCTTCAGGCAGGGAGAATGGGTTAGGGGGAGTCTCACCTTTCTCGGAAGAGTTATGTCTGAAATTTACCTTGTGAGGACATGTTCAAGAGGGAGTACAGAGGATGACTGACAGTTAACAAGAATTCTGGTGATTATGCTAGTTTCTTATATTTTGCTTGACACTTTCTCTAATTTAGAAATAAATGAGCCCAAATTCTAAGGTATTCAAAAGGCATACATTTTTGTCTCCACTTATGTGAAAATTGTTAGTGACAAATCAATGAAGTAATTGCTCTTTGCCTAATAATTATTTTTATTTAGTGAATGGGTATTCTGTGGAGGACTGGCGCAACTCCTTGAGTAGCTGGAGTTTATGGGGCACTGCTCACTCTGGGGCTCTCCTCAGCTCCTCTGGCCGTGCGATCTGCTTGCTCCCTTCTCTCTGGCCGCGAGTCTTTCCTTGGCTCACCCTCCACCCAGCCTTTAAATGTGCTTCTCCAGGGCCCAGTTTTATACTCTTAGCTTCCCTCTAAGCTCCTACTGCCAGTTCATACCAATTCCCAAATGTGCCGTCCAGCTGCCCTCTTGACATACACGTTTGACACGGATATCTCAAGGATACCTTGAATCAAATATAAGGGGCCAACTTAGAAACGAGCATTTATCCCAAAGAATGGCACCATCAGCTCTCTAATTATTAAAGCTGCAAACCCTGGGATGGTTTTGAAAACTCCTCTTTTTCAATAAAATTCAATTCCAAGGCCTGTTAAGATCTAGTCTCTAAATATTTTCAAAGTGCCCACTTCTTCCCTATTTATTTATTATTTATATGATCTAGTTTCTAAATATTTTTCAAAGTACTCAGTTCTTTCCTATTTATTTGTTTGTTTGTTTGGATTTTTCAAGACATGGTTGCTCTGTGTCAGCCTGGCTGTCTTAGACTTGCTTTGCAGACCTTGAATTCACAAAGATCCACCTCCGTCTGCTTCCCTGAGTTCTGGGATTAAAGGCGTGAACCTACCCCCATGTTCAGCTTTCTTTCCTTTTTATAAGATTTATTTTTATTATTTTACTTATGTGTAGATACGTGTGTTTGTATGTGGGTATGTGTGCGCATGTGTGTGCAGGCGCCTACAGCAGCCAAAGTTGTCAAGTACCCTGGAACTGAGCTGCAGTTACACACTGGTGAGAGTTCCCTGACGTTTGCGCTGGCGACCACACTCTGGTCCTCTGACAGGGCAGTAAGTGCCATTTCGCACTTCTTTCCATCTGTTCTGTATTAACTGCATCTGCCTTCAACACTTGAAACCTGGACCTAACGTCTTCACTGCTCTTGCTTTCCTCTAAACTCACTGGAGGCAACACAAGCAGACTGAACCTTTGAAGCAGCCTTCTGAAGATGAGAGCGACAGCTTTGTTAGTAGAGTTCCTGCCTAGCATGCAAGAAACCCAGCACCGACCACACAAGTCGTGGTACAGGCTTGCAATTGCAGCACTTGAGAGCTGATGGGAGGGACCAGAGTTAAAGGTCATCCCCAGACCACCTTCTAAACAGGAGACCCTGTCCAATAAACGAGCTATCATTCTTGACCCTGGAGAGATGGTTAAAAGGACTCAGAGGACCTGGGTTCAATTCCCAGCACCCACATGGAGCTCACAGCTGTCTGAAATTCCAGACCCAGAGAATCCCACTCCACCTTCTGGCTTCGTTCCTTCTGGCACTCTATGCACCTGGTGCACAGACTCACAAGAAGGCAGAACACATATGCATAAAATAAACAACAGCCACAAAACATTCTAAGCACATCTGATGAAAACCTTTATCCTCCCACCAATCTAAAAGACTGACATCCTAAAACTCTGGCAGTCTCCCTTGATCCGTCCTTCAGTCCTTCAATGACGACGTCACATGCCCTCTCGCTCACTGCCCCCACATCTCAGCACTCCTTCCGCTACTCCAGGGCTTCATGTTCCTTCTCTGTCTTGGCCTTTATATAAATCCTTGACTCAATTCTGAAACATCTGCCACAACCCACTCACCTTCAGTCAACTCCTACTTATCTTTCAGAACTTATCACAAATGCCACTCAGAAGGCAGAAAAGGATTCCCTCATAACTAGTCAAAGTTAACATTTGCAGTATGTACTTACTTAACATCTCAAAAGATTTATTTGTGTGTGTGGTGTGTGTGGTGTGTGTGTGTGTTGCTGATAATGGAAGTCAGGGACTTTTGCAAAGTAGGCATAGACTCTACCTCCTGATGTGTGGTCCCCCACCCCCAATTCAAACCTTGAGGTAAACTTACAATGTATATAATTAAGTTTTCTTAACCTGGAAGCATTAAAAAAAAAAGTACATAATATTAAGCATTCTAACAATGTTTAAATTTTTATAGATTCATAACTTTTTTCCTAAAAATATGTTTTCCAGCAGAATACTGAGATATAAAATAGATTAATTATAAGATTACATCTTAAAAATTGTCTCTCACTATAAGGCTGTTTTTAAGAATCCCAGGAGACCAAAAATATGACAGATTACCAATAAACAGAACACTTAGCACCCAAGTTAAAAAGAGCAAAGTATAAGTGATAACACCTAATTTAAAAAATCATAAAATCACAACAGAGCATCTACACAATCACTTAAAGAATAAGAGAGAAGTGCTTGAAATAGAAACAAAAGTCAAGATGTAAAGATCACAGGAGTTTGTAACCACTATCTAGAAGTTGATATGAGCCTTTTGATCCTGGCACTCTTTGGGGAGGCTGAAGGTATTATTTTTAACCTTAAGAATATTGTTTCCAAAAATTTTACTTCCGTTTGAAATGACAAGTCTTCACTTAGTCCAGACTTCAAAGGTTTTCGTTCAGGAAAGCGTGCAAGAGGAAAGAATGAATTAAAAGACTTCATTGTTTTTCTAACTGTAACTAAGGTTTTTGTTTGTTTGTTTGTTTGTTTTGTTTAAAGTGTCTCCTACACATATCAATGTTTACTGATTTGATAATATACCTATTTCTCTTATAATTCAAAGAAACACTTAACCAGATATTGCAATAACAAAGGAAAGGCAAAACTTAAAAAAAGCATTAATTCAGGGCGGTGAAAGCAACCTCCCTGTCCACCGGTAAAAGATAACAGAAAAGGGAAGTTTTACAAGTTTGTCTCCGAAACAGAGGCAGATGCAGGTGTCTGTGTGTCTGTCTCTGTTGGGGTGCGGATCACGACCCGCGGGCCGTGTCCACTGCGGGTGCCTGGTCGCCGGGTGCTTGGTCGCCGCCACTGCTCCCTTTGCCCACTCGGTAGGTGCGGAGCTGGTCCACGAAGCCGGGGTTCGGACACACGGACGGCCTCGCACCTTTCACCAGCGACAAAGCAGTGGTGAACGCGAGTTCTTCGGAACTCATGAGGAAGCCGATGACAACCGCCGCGGCCCTGGAAACCCCTGCGTTACAGTGAACGAGAACCACGCCATCCTGGAACACGGCCAAACACACTTCGCGTCAGTAAGTCAGGTGGGCATGCTTAGGAGGCTCGCCTACAGCGTCAGTAACTCGGCTGTTTGCCAGAATAAATTTCATTGCAAAAAAAAAAAAAAAAAACCAGGGAGACTCAGCCCTCAAACAGCGGCTGGATGAAATGCTCTGGCGATGTGGGTGGAGCTCCGAAACGGCGTCTACACGCGCGACTCGAGCCAAGTACACCTAAGAGCCCACTAACTCACATCTACATAAATGACCGCTGCCGCAGACCACATGGTTGGTAAGGAAAAGGCAAGCCATTGGGAGTATCACTCTGTAAGGAGTCATTCTGACTCTGTAAGGAAGAAAATTAAAACTGTCAACCGATCAGTTAGCAAATGAATAGCTCACACCGACGTGAAGTGGGAAAGGTAATCGGATGCCGGCAGAGAGGTCAGTGAAACCCTTCTCGGGTAACTTGTAAATGATACTTTACAAGCGAAACGAACACAGGGCAGGGTGGACGCCGATGTGGGCAATACTGCGTTGAGAGTGAACGCGAGCGACGTGACGGCTCAGATTGACACAGCCTGGCCCACCGCAGGCCTTCACAAACTTAACGATCTGGATTCAGTGGCGCACACGCCACAGGATCCAAGTTCCAGCAACTCTGTTTCTCTTCATTTGCTACAACACAGGAAAGCACAGGCGGGCACCACCTTCCGTTAGGGACGGGACCCTGTCCCCACGCGCACTTTACACAACTGCTCCTGCGCCCCTGCGGGGCTTTTGACGGCTTTAGGTTTTCAAGGCAGCTCTCTCCCATCTGTGAACATGCGGTCAGATTTCTCTCTCGATCCATTATATCAAATTTGCAAGTGTATCTCTTTTCAACAATGATTAGAAACAAAATTAACTGGTATTTTGATATTTCTTACATCAACAAGTCTACTTCACTTGTTTTCTTATAGATACTGAGGATACATTTTTGAGTTTTGTTTCTGCACAAGGAAAGGAAAATAATATTCACTATATACACCTACACATAAGGAAATTTCAACATTTTTAAAAATTTATTTTTATTTTTTTAATTTAAAAATTGTTTTTAATTTAAAAAAAATTAAGAAATACACACACACACACACACACACACACACACCACAGGCAGGTTGTGCACACAGGGCTGCAGTGCTCATGGAAGCCGGAAAGGACGCGTTGCCCCCTGGAGCTGGGGTTCCAGGTGTGAGCTGCCTGGGCACAGAGCACTAACCCTGGCCCTCCACACGTGAGCACTCTTAACTGCTCGGCCACCTCTCCAGCCTCTCATCCTGTTCTCTGTGAGTCTCCTCTGCTTTTGCAGCACTGACAATGCACCCACAGGGCACACACAGGACACACACAGGACACACACAGGACACACACAGGGCGCACACAGGGCGCACACAGGACGCACACAGGACACACACAGGGTGACACAGGACGCACACAGGGCACACACAGGACACACACAGGGCACACACAGGACACACACAGGGCACACACAGGACACACACAGGACGCACACAGGGCGCACACAGGGCACACACAGGACACACACAGGACACACAGAGGGCGCACACAGGACGCACACTGGGCACACACAGGACACACACAGGGCACACACAGGACACACACAGGGCGCACACAGGGCGCACACAGGACACACACAGGACACACACAGGGCGCACACAGGGCGCACACAGGACACACACAGGACACACACAGGGCACCCACAGAGCGCACACTCCACTTACTTTTAATTTTAAGAGGGGTTCTCTGTAAGTAGCCTGTGGTTCTAAACCCACCCGTCAATCCTCAGTCTTCCTGCCTCAACTGATTTTATTTCACTTTTTACCAACAGCTAATTTTTTATGACTCATGTGTTTAAAAATTATACTACAACATCTTGAAAATTACTAATGTATATTACTGAGCTCAAAACAAATCTCCAGATCTCAAATTTACATGTTTTGAAGTGTAATATTTTCCTTTCACTATGCCGTTGCTACTTTTTTTAGGATTTATTTTCTTTACGTACACTGCCTGCACGTGTGTATGTGCAGCTTGTGTATGACGCACCCTCGGAGGTCGGAGGAAGGTGCTGGAGTCCCTGGAGCCACAGTTTCAGGCGGCTGGGAGACGCCATGTCGGGGCTGGGCACCGGGCCTGTGCCCTCAACAGCTACGCCAGCTCTCCGGCCCCAATAACTAGCTTTCCATGGCTTTTAAAGCACTTCCTTCCTATTTTTCAAAATTAATCTGTGGGGATAATATCGTCCTTGAAAGTATTTCCAAAAGAATTGTTGGATTGCTTTCTTGTTCCCAGAGCTAACAATAATAAAACAAAGCTTTTCTTTGGGGCTAGTGCTGTGCTACACCTGACAGATGTTGTGCTCTTCTTGACACAGCTGACCCTGGCTTCTGTCCTAGGAAGAGGACCCCTCCCAAGTGAGAGGAGGGCTGCCTGACCCATCTTTGTATCTCCAGCACTAACTTCAGTTCTTAGCACATAGCAGGAATTCGTCAATATTTGCTAAGTAAACAAATAGACGTGGCGTGCATTTCCGTGAAGAAAACTTGACACCTAAAAGTTCAAAGTGAGGGAAGTAGAAATGCCCGGTAGGCTGAGGCGCGGACTGTGAAACGTTCAGTCCTCATCTGGAAAGTGTCTTGGCAATGCCCAGACTCACAACTAGCAAAATGCAGAAAATAAGTGTCTGTGCAGCGCCCAGCCATAAGCGGGTCATCTATACGATACCCACCTCCTCTCAAAGCTCAAGGAACACTGAGGAAGAGGGGCCAGAAAGACTGTAGAGCCAGAGGTCAGGGGCTGGGAACAATAGCATCTTCCGAATGTGACAGGACACAAAGTTACTAACCAACTGCAGCCGAGGTTCCCGCATAAGATCAGGCCAGTCAACATTCCAGCATGGAGTGGGAGGGACTCGGGAGTCCTAATCCTACCTCAGGAGCTAGTGACAGCCAATGGGTGCTGGCGGGGGAGGGGCCAGTCTTCTTTATACCTGTGCTCTCGGGCAGGTTTACCATGCTCCAGTGAGGGCCGCATGCCATGTTTACATGGCAACACCAACTGGACTCAGTGAGTTATTAAAAAAAAGAGGACATGAATATGAGAGGGCGATGTAGGAGGCTCTTAGAGGGAGAGAGTGGTGGTGAATAGGATTAAAATACATTGCATCCATATATGAAAGTCTCAAAGGACAAATTTAAAATATTACGCTAATAATAAAATTGAATAAAATCATGAAATATTTCCCCACTTTTTTGGACCGTCAGACTCTGTCCGTCAGTGAAGCAAGCACTGGGGTTTGAAGCCAGGTTCACGGTGTCAAAGCCTGGGTTCACGTATCCAGGTTAGGAGCTGCTGGCACTCCAGGACGTACTCTTTCTTAGAGGGTTGTAGCCAGGTTCCCAGGGGACTCCTGGTTAGTTCTCGGGGAGGAAACTGTTACATCAACCCCACCACCATCCTCCCTGTGGATTGATCTTGCTAACTAAAAACAAGTCTGGGCGTGTGAATTCTCTGACACATCTCTTTATCAAAGATGTACATATGTTCAGTTATATATAATGACTAAGGGAATTACTTAGAAATTAAAAACTTAATTACAACGAAAATGTAAAAAAGGAATTACTTATTGACCAAAAAAAACCCAAAAAAAACGTCATTTCAAGATACAGTTTTAGGTAATAGCCATCCTAGAGGTCTGTCAGAATGTTGACACACATCAAAGATTAAGACTGAACCGATATGCCAGACCGGGCTTTGAATGTCACAAAACCTGCAGACAGTTTCTGATTAGGGTTTTATACAAGCTCAGCTCAGCACAGCAATATGCCTTCTGCCTTACAATTCTATGGTTCAAAATGCAGAAGAGCAAAGACGTGGCTCGGCTGGTGGAGTAACTGCTTGGTGTGAGGGTCCTGGTTCCATCCCCAGCACAACATAAAGAGAAGTATGGCAATGTACACCTGTAATTCCAGTACGCGGGTGGCGGAGGCAGAAGGATCTAAAGTTCAAGCTCTTCCTCGGGCACAGAGTGAGTTTGAGGCTTCACCTAAGCTACATGAGACCCTGACTCAATAAGTATATCAATAAAATTTAAATGCACAGACACAAAGTCTCTGTGCCTGAGTCATTAAATGAATGAATATTCATCATCATGAATACACTGGCGAGACTAGAGCAGACTGTACCCTTTGGTCCATCTGGTTCTTACAAATCAGCCAGGATGTGCTCACACAGCCTCAGACGACATTTAACTACCTATTTGCACAGGGAAATTCAGTCAGCCAGGGAGTTTCCTGGTAAGAACTCAGAGCAAAACTCAGTTAATATGGAAAGTAAGCTTCTCATTAAGAGAAAAAAACAATTGAAGAACTTAAAACCATAAGGATTTAATGAGCATTGCTGGAGGAAAATTTTCATGATGGTTCTTCACAAATTCATTGCAAAATGTAGAAAGACAGGCTGGTGGCCCTATGCTTTGGAATTTCTGCTTCTGAAGAACTGTTACCAAATAAAACTCACCTTCAGTTTCGCTTGCTCAATAAACTCAAAACATTCTGGAAAATAAGACAGGATATTGGTTTCAGGCACATCCAATATAGAAATAGTCTTATATGTAAATTCACTGAGGAAAGCATTTTCAACTCCATATGCAACATTGAGAATATGAGTCACCTTAAAGGAAAGGAAAAAAAGATGATTTTTAGGTTCTATGAATTAGATGATCTAAAAACAGACTCTAATTTTAATTTCCGTAATAAGAATAATCAAAAACATTACTTGACTCACTGAACGACACAACTTCTCTTTGCCCTTTCCTCTGTCCCATCCTCAACCACAGAGCTCTTTTACAACACGTGCATGACCCTTTCGGTGTAGCCCAGCTCCTTAGAGAGCTCCCTCCCTGCACTGGGAACTCAATGAAAACACAGCCCAGGCTGAAACATCGTAAGCATTGAGTGAACAATGAGCTCAGCAGAAAGTACTGACTTAAAATAGCTATCAAGGGGGAGGGCGGGGACCTCAGTGAATAGCCATACTAACATGTCAGTGACAGAAGGGTGGTTTTTGTTTGTTGGTTTGGTTTGGTAGATCAGATGAGGAACCAGCCTAAAGCCCCCCCCCCCAATAAAGCCTATGTATGCTAATCAGTTAAAGAGCTGTTTATTGATGCTGGCCTTGAGAGGCGATGCCTTTATAATGAGGATAGTGAGGCCAGCTCACTTCCCCTGTACATTGTTAAGAGAGGACTGTGGGAAGAGCAAGCAGGATCTGATAGAGAGAGATGCTCCAGTTCCCATCCCAACAGTGAGGCTGACTGAGTTCTGTTAAAGCAGGAGGGGTGATACACACACACACACACACACACACACACACACACACACACACACGCCATGTTACCCTGAATAGCACTAACCTGTTAGTGGACATAAGGCTGAACGTTTCTAGCACTGTTAAATAAGGTGTGTGAGGACACTGGTAGGAAATCCAGGCATTCTCGTGTGGTTTATGCAATTAAAGGCCGTTATTTCTCCTTATCAGGTTGTAATATGTAACAAACCAAACAGAAGTAAGACGAGATGCGGCTCAGTAAACTGACCAGCAAAGGTATCAGACTAGCTAATGAACTGATTATTGGTTAAAAATAATGGCAAGTATTTTATTAAGTAACACTTTTATCCCTCATTGAATTGACTTTTTCCCCACGGGAGCTCTGGGTGACAAATATAGGTCTCAAAGTCTTGGTGGCAATAACATAAGGCAGCCAGTGGTGAGAGCTGAGGACAATGAGGTGGACTCCAACGGGAGGAAGAGGTCACTCAGTGTACCACCTGCCTCGGTCCGCCCGAGTGTGTGGAGAGGTGGCGGCAGTGGTATAGCTGTTCTCTTAGCCTAAATGCTCTTCCCATCTATGGCATGGTTGGCTGCCAGGTTCAGTGAAACACGCAGTCTCAGAGACACCAGCTCACTCAGTGCCCCTCCAGTCCTCCTGGTGCCTTGGTTGATTCTTTCAGAGAAGACAATCTCTCTCTGAAAGTGTCACGTGGCACCCTCCACATCTGCCCATCCGGTATCACCAGCTGACCTCTACCCTTTCTTTCTGCAATACTTCAGTCGATGACAGATTCCTGCATCCTTTAGAGGGCTCTTCCCAGTACGTGCTCCGGAACCACTGCTATTTCTGCACCTTTCCCTACTGACTTTCCTGAGTCTTCTATTCCTGCTTCCAACATTAGCCTCCACACATGCACAACACTTTCTAAGCTCCGCCCACTACTTTTTCTCCTCCCCTCACTTCTTCATCAACCCTCTGCTTCTCAGTCTTCTGAAATCGGGCTCACTAATTTCTCTACTTGCTGTTCTACTGCTGTGAAGACACAGCCTGAGCAAGGCAGCTTCATTCAGTCGGGGGCTTGCGGTCCGGCAGCAGCCAGCCAGGCATCGCACTGGAGTGGCAGGTGAGAGCTCACTCCTGATCCACAGGTCGCACCCAGAGAGAAGGGGTGAATCTGTGCCTGACGTGGCCTTTGGAAACCTCAAAGCTCATCCCTGCTTCGACACTTCCTCCAACAAGGCCACACCTCCTAATCCTTCCTAAACAGTCCACCAGCTAGGAGCTTCCTTCTCCTGTAACTAAGGAAGGATTGAGATGTGAGGCTTTGGGCCTCTCAGAAAATCTCAAATCCACCACTTCTCTCTACCCTGCATCTAATCTACACCGTTATCACCTTCTCTCTGAGCACTGACAAACTTCACAGCTGGTCCCCCCATCTCCGGCTCAACAATTCTTCAATATATTTCCCATGCTGCTCCTAGTGAGAAATCTTTCTAAAATGCACATTTAATCCTGCTATTCCCCCAGGTAAAGGCTTTCCTTGGCTTTTTGCTGTATTTCGGATCGTGTCCAAACAACTTGCAGTAGTTTGTGTGGTCCTTCTGCTTCATGCTTTCCCTCTCTTGCTCATATCCTGGTGCCCTTTGCTCTCACACGATCTTCTGAACTCCGTTCTCTCCCTGAAAACACCAGCCTTTCCTTTGTCTAGCTTTGGGGTGTCTACACCCACCATCTCTATCAGAGTTCTCTTATGCCTGTTCCTTTCTCAACGCCCCCAGAGCAAAAGTTAGTGCTACCCCCTCCAAGAAGCTTTTCCTGTGCCCCCCAAGCACCGAACAAAACAAACCAGGGAAGGAGGCACCATCACTTGCCCTTCCCTGCTCACCCACACAACACCTTCGGAATCTCCCCGGATCCATGTGGAGCGGAAGCTTCAAGAGAACCAGAACCTCAGCTACTTAACAGGAGCTGAGTGTCTGGCACAACAGCAAACAGCTACACATTGCTCTGAGGAAATACTGAAAATGGGCAAGAAATCCTTTCGCTGTGTAAAGGGAGCGGGAAAGAAGCACTGTTGCGGGAAACTGGCCAATGAACTGGGACTCAAGAACGGATGTGGATGTTTGACAGGCAGAGATGAGGGAAAGTCTGGCCCACAGGGAACTGCTTAAGCAGAGGCAAGAAATAAGTGTTTCCAGGGTCAAGTTCATGAGGTGGTGTGAAGGAATCTGAGAAGGACATGAGCCTGGAAAAAAAAGATGAATCACAGACCTGTATATTTAAAGTAGGTGCAATTATTTGGCAATGCTACTAAAATGATGGCCCGAGTAGCACATACTAAACCCAATTATGCAAAGGTTGAAGGAATACAATGTTTCCCACGTAATGGAAGGAGGGACATCGTCCCAATTGCAGTTTACCTTGTGCTTCCGCAGCAGCTCCAGATCATGAGCAGCATCCTGTGAGCCTGAGGAAATAAACCATATTACCTTGAACATAAGTACAATCTCAGTTTTCCTGTGAGCTTTGTGTAATGATTCTCTTAAAAAAACAGAACAAGGGGGGAAATCAACATGAAAGGACATCAATTCAATTTTTGGAAGGGAAATTTGGTAATATTCATCATGAAAAATGTATCTTTTATGAATCTGTGGACCTTCCCATTGTAAATAACTTATACTAAAATTATAGATGCTGCAGTGATTAGCTGTAAGGATGTTCAACATATGACAAATAAAAATACAGCCAGTAAAGCAAAGACAACTCCAGGTCCAAAACAGGCGTGGAGACAGAAAACATCACACAGTCACATATGAAATCTGTACAGCAGCAGGCACCACTAGAAATAACAATTAAAATAGGAAAGGCATGGGACGCACATTCTTAATACATAGAAAATGGAAACGTGCTCCAGAGGCTTAGAACATGCCTCAGTGGGAAACCACTGCTACCATAGGACCCGAGTTTAGATTCCTAATACAGACATAAAATCCAGCACGGTGTGAAATATACAACAAAAAACAGAAAGTACCCGGAACAAAACATTAAATGTGGGGTTATGGATGTTATTTTTTTCTTCCTTATACACCTCACTATTTATAATGAACAGCCCTTTCTTTTACACAAGAAAAAAAGGGTAATAAGAGAACCAGACACCCACAAAGTAAGTTCAGGCCAGCTGGAGAGGGAACGCTCAGTAGCTCTGAGCCACGGGCTCCCGCCCGCCCACACACTGTATTCAGCCAGTGCCGTAGCCTTCACAGTCTCTTCCTGCTGAAGATGGCTCTTTACTCTCCCACATTTGGAGACTGGCTCTTGTTAATAAGCAAATTCCTGCCCAAGGTCGACAGAGTGTAGCAGGTTTCGCGGATAATTAAATAGGACATTTACAATGAAGGATTTCAAGGATTTTACTTTTCTGTGTTCCATTTCCACAAGCAATGCTCTCTCTCTCTCTCTCTCTCTCTCTCTCTCTCTCCTTCTCTCCATATCTGAGGAATCAGCCAGCTTCCCTTGCATGATTTCAGGTAACTGGGTGAGGGGGGGCGGTCACAGGTACACAGCGAGTCCAAGCTGAGAGGTTCCTTACCAAACACACATTCTGCTTCTTTCCACTTGGAAGTTTGTCTTCCAAAACCTAAGCACATGGCCAATATGGATGGTGGGTACAAAATTGCCTGTTCTCTCGTCATTCCATAACTTCCTATCAGTTTGAAATACCTCATGACTGAAAGGTGATTTTCAGTTTTCTACCATAAGAATTCTTAACTGTGTTGGGGTGGGGAAACAAGTTCAGATAAACTAATATTAATTTAATAGTTTAGAAAACATATCATTTTTAACTGATTATTCTGTTCTGTTTGCATTTTACAATAGTAAAAAGTGTAGCATGGCTTAAATGAAATTGTTTCCTTTTTCTTTTTTTAATTTAATTTAATTTAATTTTTTTTATTATTAGTTACATTTTATTAACTCTGTATCCCAGCTGTATCCCCCTCCCTCATTCCCTCCCAATCCCACCCTCCCTCCCTCATCTCCTCCCTGCCCCTTTCCAAGTCCACTGATTGGGGAGGACCTCCTCCTCTTTCATCTGACCCTGTTTTATCAGGTATCTTCAGGACTGGTTGCAAAGTCCTCCTCTGTGGCCTAGCAGGGCTGCTCCTCCCTTGGGGGGTGGGAAGGTAATTGTTTCCTTTTTCGCCCTACACTGACGGTGTTGGTAATATTCCCTCTCCCTCTATTCCTCTGTCTCTCCCTTCAAAACTGAGACAGACAGGTCAGGTCAACGATATTGCAGAGACAGTTGTCCTTTCTAAGGACTTCCACGCTGTGACACTATTGATATAAACCTTCTATGTGTTTGTGGTGTTGAGGCCAGCACCTGTCACAGAGTATAACTATGTTGCTCAAGGTACCCTCACCCTGTAGCCCAAGCAGGATTCAGAGTAGTTATTATTCTGACTCAGCTTCTGGAACAGCTGTGATTGTAGCCAGTTAAAAGTCTTTTTAAAGCATATTTGCTCATTTATTCATTTACTTTTTATTTTTTTCTATTTAGTGTGTGTGAGAGAGAGACAGAGACAAAGAGGTAACAAGATGGGGAGAAAAAGAGACAGTGACAAAGGAAAGAGATAAGAGTTTGTGAGCAACTGTAGTGGTCAGAAAAAGCTTCTTGGGTGGGGGCAAATAACTGAAAAACACTCACATACATATACTCAGACACAGAGAACAAGGTCAGAACCATCCAGCTTGGCCAAATAATTCACTGAAGTTTTTGCTGTGAGAAGATGGTATATTTTCTCCTCTGAGCTGCAAAGTCTGGCTGGCCTTATTTATTCAGTCAATCTACACACAGTGTGTATGACAATTCTTTAGACACATGGTATAACTTACACCACTCGAGTTCTGCCAAGAAAAATCCACAGTGCCAGAACAACATTATAGGATGTCACTTCAGTTGAAACTGGCAGATCAGGGCCTGGAGAAGTGGATCAGTGCTTGAGAGCACTTGCTGCTCTTGCAGAGGACTGAGGTTCAGCTCTCAGTGCCCGCCCACATGGTGGCTCACAACCATTCTTAACTCTGGTTCAAGGGACTCTGATGACCTCTTCTGACCTCTGAGATTACCATGCACGAACATAGCGCACCTGCATTTACTCATGAAACATGCAAACATAAAACTAAATAAATAAACTGGAAATACTTTATGCAGATGGCTTTTTGGAAGTCTTGAGAGGATAAATGAATGGCAGCACCTGATGTAAATGTAGCTGCAAACAAGACGGTACGATGACAGTGGGCAAGAGCCAGTCACACTTGGACTTGAGGCCCTCGGACATTCTGCTGAATCTGTTCCCTGTGCAAATCATGCTCCCAACCTTAAAGCTCACTTCCCATTTGTACCATGAAGACAATCCGTGTCTGAAGATCCTTAAGAGAATCATATGCCCTGTATGCTTCATAATGTGCTTATGTCTGACTCCTGGGTCTGTGTCCAAACGTTAGTCTCTCATTCACAAATGTAAAGCAATGCAGACTTGTGGGACAGGCTGGCTTCTAGAGAACATCGTACCAGGTCATCAAGACAACCAGTGAGTTCTCTTACAAGCTCGCTTCCTTTTGGTTTTGCCTGTGGGGGATGCCTGTATACAAATTCAGCATTTCCATATCACAAGAAATAACATCATCATCAGGCTGGCAGCTGTAAAACAGAATGCGTGTTCCTAACACCCCAGAGACAGGCACCATGAGCAGAGGCAGGTACCAGAGAACACTCTCAATCACCTGCTTTCTCAGTCAAACACAGCATCTTATTATCCTCCAGAGAAAGTTAGAAAAACAGGGAGAACATTTGTTCCAAAATTCAATACTCAGGTGTCAAAGCGATATAACGTTTTCAGAAGAATGTTGTGGGGACAGACTCGTCCCTATTTTGTTCCTAACGGAGCAAACGTTTCAACTCTTTATCAGGATAAGTTTGTAATGTTATTGTGCATTGGGGATCATTATGCCTGGAGGAGGCTGATGGCAAAGGAATCCAGTTAAAGGGACTCCACAAGGCAGCGGCAAGCCAGTCTACTCACCCAGAAGCAGCCAGGGCTTAACAACGCCAACCTGCAGGTCCAAGCTAAAGTCCTGCACATAGCCACAGCCAGCGTCACCGCTGGGCTCGGCTTCCACAACGTGAAGTGTGGCCTCCCTCCAGGTTTCTATCATTTTCTTTCCAGTTAGCGTGGTCACCCTGGTGCCCTGCTTCCTGAGATCATTCCGGGAGAACGCTTGGATTTCTTGTTTCAGGGAGTGCATTACATGAGCGGAGGGGGGAAAGCAGCAAGCACGAAACCCCACCGCCCTGGGCTTCACCGACTGGAGCTGGCCCCGCCGGTGTCAGCCGCACCCCTGGGAGAGCAGCCCAGCCCACCGTCCCGAGCGCCGCTGTAAGGCGGGATGTGATTGGCCGCTAAGAAACAAGCACCGATTGGATGCTGTTTCTCCTCCGCCGGCGGAACGCCTGTGTCTTCCGGGTCCGTGCAGATGCGTCCTGCTGGGGCCTGTGTTTGCTCCTGTTTCATCCGCGGCTCTCCAAGCGCAGTGCTTTTCTGGAAATGTCCGAACGGTTCCGGGGATGACGGTGGAGAGAGCTGCTGACCCACGGGCCCTGCCTACCCTGGTGTGGCCTCCTGTGGCTCGCAAAGGCCTCCGGCTGCAGCTGTCCCCACGGGCCGCTGCTCGCTTCCTGTGCCTCCCCTACCTTCCCCCGCTGTTATTCCTAGGAGAAACGTTGACTAGATGAAACCACTGAGCCCGTTAGTGAGGCTCCACATGAAATACAATCTACATAAAATGTTTTAAATATGCGTTTCTGTGGACTAGCAAGGGATGTATGTGTATTCTGACTTTTTCCACATCTTGTAGAGAAAGAATGGCAGCAACTCTACACGTAGTTGGGAAAAACACAAAACTACCAAATAGACGAACTCTGCAAGATTTCTTCAGCTTAAGTTTTCATTATTAACACTAAAATGCAGTTTTAAGATAATGTGAGTACAATGTATGACGTTAAGACTTAGGAAAATGTATTCTCCAGCATTACATACAAACATTTTTATTGCTTTTGAAGCTTCCTGACATTCAAGTAAGTTTACGGGCGGATTGTTTGGGCCCCTTCAAAATGAGTTGGAATTATGAGCCCAAGTGTTCTGATATTTGGAGACAGGACCTCTGGGGGATAAGTAGTATTATCTTACAGCATATGTCAGGATTAATGGCTTCATGAAATTGGAGAACTCATCTGACCCTGTACTAGATAAAGGAGGCTTGGGGAAGCTGGGGGAAGCAGTGTCGGGGAACAATACCCCGGAAACCTTGTCTAGGCCAGCACCCTGATTCTCAGCTTCTTGGCCTCCCAACTACAAGAAGGAAACTTCCCTTGCTGAAGCTGCAGTTTATAGTTTTGGCTATGGAAGCCTGAGATATGAACCAAAAATGTCTCCTTCAAATGGTGTTACCTGCCTGTAATACCTAGCGGGAACCCCAAAGTGAGCTGTAAACTGTAAACTGCATCATTTAGTTGCTCACAGGCTCAGCAAAAGCAGCTCTAACCGTCATCCATCCGTGTGTTTACCTAACAGTGAGCCCTGATTTCATGTGGAGCACTGTGCTAACGACTTTCACACACTTAGTGTGGTGCATTTAGCATATAACAATGCTTTATAGACATGTTATTTTACTTCACTTAAACAGTAAGCTTCATATATGATATATGTAACAAATACAAATTTATATATATTCTCAGTTTACAACTGGGGAAATTGGATTTTTTACCATGGAATGCTGCTCTGTCCTCAAATAACAGTAAGTGTATTAACAAATACTAGCTGAACAAATACTATCAGGTGCACAGTTGTTATGAATGGACTAAACACACCGTTGATTAACTCTGGGTTACCAGCAATGTGTGTGTTACATTAAGAAAAGAAAGAGACCGGGCAGCAGCGTTTAATCCCAACCCTTTGGAGGCAGAGGCAGGTGGATCTCTATGAGATTGAAGCCAGCCTGTTCTACAGATCGAGTTCCAGGACAGCCAGGGCTACACCGAGAAACCCTGTCTCAAAAAACCAAAAGAGAAAAGAAATAAAACACTTCCATTTAACCAAGAGTGAGTCCATATTTGAAATCTACTTTATGCTCCCTGTCTTCTTTCCTCTGTCTGTTGTATGTCTGAATCTGTCTCTGGCTGGAGGCTGTTTTACAACTCTGTCCCTGTCCCTGTGTCTGTATCTGCATCTGTACCTGAGTCTCTATCTATAGCAGTACCTATGTCTGTGACTGTCCTGACTGTGTGTCTATCTGTGTCTGTGTGTCTGTCTGTTGTCTAACTGTGTCTATGTCAGTTTTGAGCGTCACAGAAAACATCACCGAGGGAAGGAATGATATACTTCATGGAAATCTTTAACAGAGTTTTACAAGCGATTAAGTCATTGGCTTCAACTGACCCAGACAGTACTACAAATATTGTTTCTCAGTCAATTTCCAAATGTTTGGTCAACGTTTTAGAATATTGCTTTCCACCTCCACATATGCTGCTTTCCAAAAATGATCCTCATGCATTATTATGGGTGGGGGCATAGAAGAGTTACATAATTTTAGATTACAGCTATACATTACCTTAGGTTTTAAGATATTTACATGGGAAATTCAAGGCAAGTAAGGTTGATTGTAACACTGTTTCCTTTTCTTCTTTCTTTCTTTCTTTCTTTCTTTCTTTCTTTCTTTCTTTCTTTCTTGTTATTGTTGTTTTACTTTGTTTTGTTTTTTGAGACACAGTTTCTCTGTGTAGGCTTGGCTGTCCTGAAGCATGCTTTGTAGATCAGACTGGCCTCAAACTGAGAGATCCGCCTGACTTTGCCTCCAGTGAGTTGGGATTAAAGGCACAAAACCCACACTTCCACTGAGTTGCATTGTTTTCTTTAAAGTAGTTTTTCAAGCAGACTGAGTACACAGTAAGACAGCAGTCTTATGTGATCTCACTCTGACTGTGAGGTCCAGCAAAAGATCCAGTCTCATCATTATGATATGCTGTTATACTCATCGTGATTATTAAAGGGAATAAAGCTTCTGCTGTTTATGGAGCATGTACTGAAGTGAAGGGAGCAAGCAGGTGGACAGTAAGAGTGTGTGGGGTGTGTGAGTGTGTGTACCTGGTGAAAGAATGCTGTGCTGTTCGGTACAGGTTGGTGAGAGAAGGCTCATCCAATTAAAATAAACTTTGAAACAGAGACTTGAGTAACATGCGGAAGGCAGCTTAGAAGTATCTGGGTAAGAGCATCATAGTAAGGGCCTAAAATACACTTAATGTTTGTGGCATGTACTTCAGCTAGTGTCCAGACAAGAGGAGAATGCTGAGAAGTAGGAGAGGTGGGTGTGGAGGCTCAAGAAATGCCCAGGTGGCTCATACGGCTTTAGTGAGTTAGTAACAACAGCAGAATGTTGGTGGCGATAAGGACAGAGAGACAGTAAGAGCTTTATGTCATATTCTAGGTGAGACCAATCGTGTGATGGGCCCTATACTGTGCTAACCAAATGCTTCTAGAGCAAATGCCTGTTTGTTGGGGGTTTGGTTTGATGCTTGTATTTTGATGCTAATTACTGGCCCTCAAGACCTGGTTACTGTCCTATCCTTGTGTAAACCTGCCTAAGACATTATTCCTGATTGGTTAATAAAAAAGGCCTTTACCTGGACAATGCAGAAGGAGGTAGGCATGGCTAAGGCTCCTGGGCTTTGGGGACAGGAGAATCATGGGAAGGAGACAGACAGATGGAAAGAGAAGGAAGCCATGGCAGGTTAGCACGGTAAAGAACCGCTTGGACCAGGAGGAAGGACTCCGAAAGTGGCGTGGAAAGGAGCGATCCAGATGAAGGAGAAGCAAGTATTTATAAGATTGTGGATGGAAGGTAGCCCAGATAAGGACGGTTAAGGCGATGGCATTGGATGCGGCTGGGAAGTGGATAGTGAGGTTATTCAGATAGTGTAGGTGGGAATATCAGCCCAGCCCAAGGTGTTATGAGACAATCATAAAATCTAACAAGCATCTGTATCTTATTGATTGTGATAGTGGGTTAGATAATACTGCCATAATAATTACAGGGCAAATAATAAACATTATTTAGCCTGTTGCCTTTTATTTACAATACTTGTTATTTCTACTGCTGTGAATATTGTTGACAGAGTGACAATTTTTTCAAGGTCTTCCTCCTCTTCAGAAGGCTACTATCTGAGGTCACACTCCTCACAGACTGAGTGGCATCCATGAATGATTGATGTGGGAACCTAGAGGCCTGGTCATCGTAGCCTAACTTGGTACAACTCTATAAGGTCACTGTAACTCTACAGGACAGTATGTGATTGGCCACGGCCGTCATACAGTCTGTTTAACCACTTGATCTCTGTCTGCTCAGTCTTGTTTCCTTTCTCCTTCCACAAGTACTGATTCCAAGGACATTTTAAAAATTACTATTTATCATTTATTTTATGTGTGGCTGTTTCGCCTGCATGTACGCCTGTGTACTAAGTGCATTCAGTGCCCACAGAGACCAGTGCCCACCAGATCCTGAAGAACCAGGTCACAGACAGCTGTTAACTGCCCTGTGGGTGCTGGGAATGGAGCCTGGGTTCTGCTGCTGCAGAGCAGCCTGTGCTCTTAACCACTGAGCCATCTCTCCTGTCACTCTCCCCTCCTTTTTAAAAACCTTCAGTATTAAACTATACCTCAACCTGCTTGAAGTGAAAAAAAAAATCTTTGACAAATCTTAAAACAAATCTTTTGACAGGCAATGTGTTACTTATTCACTAGAGGAATCGAGGCAGGAGTAACAAAGTTTGTGCAGAGGCAGCTGCCATAGTAAGAATGAAAGACAGCACTTGCTTTTAGTAGAACGGCGACAGACAGGGAAGTGACAGGCATATTACAGATACACGGGGTTCTCTAGGATTAAATTATAGCCCCCAAATCTATCTCACGTTGAAATAGTGTTCGGTTGTGGGTGCATTTGATACACTGAACCTATTACGTATTATAGCATAGTCAACACCCTCAGCGGAACATTGGAATTTTGTTTTCTCTCCTCCTTTCTCCTCCAGTGGCTAGTCGCCAGCTGGCCATTCTCACTGCCCCTGCCCAGCATTGCAAGATAGTATAGTAATTCACTTTGCTAATCTAGGCAAAGATAACTTTTCAAAGTACGTTTTCCACAGAATGTCATCACTATTGAATCATCATTCATTAAAAATGTCATAAATCGGGGCTGGAGAGATGGCTCAGAGGTTAAGAGCACTGGCTATTCTTCCAAAGGTCCTGAGGTCTATTCCCAGTCAACCATATGGTGGC